CAGCCGCTGGTCAGTTTCAGCAGCGGCTGAATCTGGACGCCAGTTCCAACTTACATACAAATTCAACTTAAGAACAAACCTACAGTCCCTATCTTGTACGTAACCCGGGGATTGCCTGTATTGTGTGGGACGGCTCGTTTGTACAAAAGCATGACTGTTAAATTCCAAGGTAAAACCTTCCTAGGTGATTGCTAAGAGCAGGCAAAGGAGAGCATACAAGGAGCCTTCCCCAGTGAACATGGGCTAAGTAAGGGCTAGACAAAATGGCAGTCTGGGAGCTTCTCTGAGTGCGGGAGCCCTGAGGGCATTTCAAAGAAGGCTGCACTGTGGATCCATGGATCCCACAGACTTGACCCATGGATCTGGCTGGCTGCTGCTCTGCTTTCTGAAGCCCTTTTAGGAAGTGTGCTTTTCTGAGAGACTGTCTCCCAAAGCTCACTAAAAGGCTGTTTGACTCCACTGTGCTCCCAACATGCACACAGTCGAGCTGCTAGGAAACACTGCTGTGTGTCTTGTAACCGAGCCTTTCCTGAGAGTTGCATGAAATGAAATAAAGGAAGACGAATAGACCGAAACACACAAACTGTTGGTTAGATAGGAACTTCCTAGAGCTCTGTTTTCCCTATCATTTCCTAGCTTTGCTTTTTGCAGGTGCATTTGCAATCTACTATTCTTCTGTTCAGGGATAACAGAATAGTATGAACATTAAATGTGTGATGACCAAAATCAGCTTTCTCTGCTGATTTTTGCCAGTAGGACTTTCCCTGTATAGCTCTAGGGATCTTTTTTTTTTCCTGCATGTACAGTAAAACAAATCTTTGTTATCCGGCACTCTATTAACCAGAACACTTTGTTAACCGGCATTGCCCCCAGCCACAATACTGTCACATCTTCAGGCGCACAGGCCTGACTTGGTTTACCATGATTGGCTTAACAATTTTTTATTTAAGTAGTACTAATCATCTTTATCAAAATAGAAATGTGAGATCAACTGCCTCACACTGCAAAAATACCAATATTAAAAACTTGAGTTTTACTATTATTGTCCATTGGTTTTTCCTAGGTTGATAGGATCCTCAGATAATTGGAATGCCTTAATCCCCGAGCGTGTTGGTTAACACAGGTTTTACTGTATAACTCTGATGATAAAGGCATTTGTAGTTGCATATCTAGGTTAGACTCGACCCTTCCAAAGATCAAAGACACAACTACAAAGTATGTTAGCAAAGAACAGCCATGCCCACTAGTCTTCCATCTAGGGTCCACATAACCATTTGTCTTGTTTGATAGAGGGCCTAGAAATGTTTTAGTTAATCAGCTTTAGGTTGTGATCTGTTGCTGATCGCTTTGTGGTTCTTTCCCTCTACTCTAGCTATCAGACATGTTGGGAACCGTCCCAAAAACCGCTTTATGGACATTATCTCAGTCCTGATGTCTGAGACCGAGGCCCTGGCAAGAAAGGTTTACCCGATAGGTAAGATTACGCAGAATGTCCAGGAGGGGGGGAGAACTGGGGATTCATTCTTTGACTATATCCATAATAGGCTCCTCTCACTGCATCAATATTCATTCCTTCAGTTTCCTTTCACCTTTTTATCCTACCTTTTCCTGCCATTTTCTTTAATAATATCTCTTAGATGAAATAGGTCTTACGTGGAAAGGGAGCTTGTCATTCAAGCTGTTTTAATTTGTAATGTCACCGTCATTTGACAAGCTATGAAAGCCTCGTGTGTGGAATAGCACATGAAACTGTCAAATAATGTTGAGTAAAAATACCAGAGCTTTCTTTCAAGTGTGGTGTGTGTGTTGTTGTTCCTACAAAGACGGTTCTGTTGTGTGATATTTCTCCAGATATTTCCTATATAGCAAGTCTATGCTAAAGAATCACATGAGGCCTTGGGCATAGCTTATCTTGATTATTGCAGCATCTTCCTTTCCTGTCTCTGCACTTCTCTCCTTCCTAGTCTATCTAAAACTGCAACAGAAATTTATCTTCCTCTCTTACAATCCTTGAGTTGGGTCACTAGCTTGGCCTCTTTGTCCTTTGAGATTCTCTGTGGCACTATCCTGCCTACATTTTGCTTCATGGGTTGTTTGTCCTTACTGTTCCCTTGGACTCCTCTTCCCAGTCACTCATGTAAGGGGTTTGGAGACAGGAGCTCATATAGTGTATTGAATCCCGTGACGCCCCATGTGAAGATACATTTTACAGATGGGGAGTTGTGGCACAGAGGCACTGTCAGGGAATAAGACAGGGTTGTGTAGCAAAGAAGGTTGTCTGTGGAACTGTCACAGAGTGTGGGGGAGTCACCGGGCTCTGCACCCCCATCTGCAGCCAGATGTGACTCTGAGCCAGCAAATAGAACGGCAGGTTTATTTGTTTGCAGTGGCACAGCACAGACTTGTTATTGGAAACACCAGCAAATAGAACGGCAGGTTTATTTGTTTGCAGTGGCACAGCACAGCACAGACTTGTTATTGGAAACGGAGCATTCCGTACAATCCATCTTGAGGATGGGGGGGCCCAAAGCCAGGGCTCTGGGCCACTGCCCCCCCAAGCCAGTTAAGCTCCCATCTCCCTAAGCCAGCCGAAAAACCAATTCATACACCCAGTAGCTCATCACCCAGCTCTCTAGGCAGCCCCCACTGCTTGCTTTGTTCTGCTTTCCGGACAAAGTGTCACATAACTGAATCCTCTACCTAGCTCAGGTGTCAGGATGGCCTAGGCCGTTCCCTACGTGCCTTCCCTCAGGAGTCCTCACCGAAAGCTAGCTCTCGCTCTCACACTCACACACCCCATAACAAAGTAAACAGTGAATGCAAAACCATACTGAACACAATCCCCACTACATCACAGAAGCCCAGCCCAATTTTTGCAGAATTTGGAAGGTGTGAGATGAATAAGGCAGGGGGTTGCAGGGGTAGAGGGTGAATTCATGGCTAAGGCAGTTGAATGCCACCCTAGAGAACTGGATTCTACGCCTGCCTCTGCCAGAGTTCCTGTTGTATGCTTATACTTTTCCCACGTTTTTGAATTGTGTTCTCCTCCTTGTCTGGTGGGTGCCCAGCTGGAGTCATCTGGGTATGATTTACAGAAGTGCTGAATGCTCACAACAGCAAATGAAGTTGAGGAGAGTTCTGTTCTGAACATAAAATTCCACAAAATGCTAAGCATTCTGAAAAACGAGATGATAGGAGTCTTAGGCAACATCTATGCTTAAGTGCAGCTGTACTCTCCCAGGGACAAAATAAACTACTTCCAATGGTGCTTCTTGTTGCTAAACTTCTGTTTGGAGTATGGTTGTTTTTTCACAGCCTTGAATGACACAAGTTTTACCAGCAAAAGTGCCAGTGTGTACACAGCCTTCAATTAGGAAACCAAAATAAGTGGCTGTTTGTGACCTTAATCTCTCTCTGACTCAGTTCCCCATGTGTAAAATTGGGAGAACACAGTCCCTATTCCTCACAGGAGAGTTGCAAAGTTAAACTGTGAAGCAATGGGATACTACAGTGATAACTCAATAGAAAAAAATCCAAAAGGAAATTGAGGCTTGGTCTATACTAGCAGCTTATGTTGGTACAGATTGAACCTCTCTAGTTTGGTGCTCTCTGGTACAGCAACATCTATGATCTGGTATGATTCGTATGCCCACTTATCATGGGTGTGGTCAAGTTTCTCTGGGTTCCGAGTTTGTTTACGCTCAGCCGCCAGTCCTGGCTCTCACTGTTCTGTGCTGTTACTTAGCTCCAATTTACCCCTAAATGCCTTCTAAGAGCCCAGTAAGCAGTGGAAAAGTCACTATTGCCCTCCTGTGGTCCAGAAAATTCTCTGGTCCAGTACCAGTCAGGTCCCAAGGGTGCTGGATTAATGAGGTTTAACTTGTATAACCACATCGCTCAGGGATTGGGAAAGTCCACATTATGACACAGGCCACACACTGAACAATGGGGATAAAATGCAATATAGACTGTTCCTTCAATGCACAGGATAGATAGTGTTCACCAAGTGAGGGAAGGGTCCTGTGGAGAAAATAGGGAGTGAGATGTAATTAAAGTCTCTGCCATAGGGCGTACACACGAAGGAACTGAATTAATGTTGCTAAGGTTTAATTCTGGCATTTCCTAACTTTTGAGTGCTTGATTTGGAAACTTTTTATGTTCTTTTAATACATACGTTCAGTGTCCTGGATCCTGTTCTGGCTGTTGTAGTTGATGACTGAATAAGATGCATTGATGTTGTTTCTGCTCCAGATGCTTTGTCGCACATTAAAACTAAAAGTTTTGGAACGCAGTGCTATGAACAGTGGATTGTTGACACTCAGAAGAAGTGCAGAATGTTGCAACTGCCAGATAAGGAGGAAGAGAGCAGGATTTGTAGAGCTCTTTTTATTTACACTGAACACTTACGGGTGAGTGAATGCCTTTCCCTTTTGCATGTCGTGTTCACAGCATTGCGGATGTCTCCAACTAAAGTAGACTAGGACTCTACCTGTTGCCCAGATTTCTGGGTGCTCTCTTTGTAGGTGGGATGATACAATGGGCCAGACTTAATTTGCGCATTCTTTCATACAAAACATTTTGCAAAGTTAGGATCTGTGGGTCAAATGGCCGGAATGCATTCTAATAAATGTAATGTGGAATGATCAAATAGTACTTTGTTTTCTTAAGGGCTTCATAATACGCAGAAATTAAACATTGGTGATAGAACTTGAAATGTTTTGCAGATAAGCCTTCCTTAAGGCATAGGAATATAAATTACAGAGCAATTACTAACAGTAGCATCAGTCCTGCAAAGGCTTATGTCAATGCTGGACTTCTAGCACCTCAGTAACCGCATTGAAACACATGTAAATCTTGTAGGATCAGGACCAATATTTGTAGCTATATCAGCACTCAGATGTAGAGCAGTGTCTTGGATATTTACTTAAAGCCATACTGGTCAGGAATCACTACTTGTAACCACTGTTTTCCTGTGCTACTGTAGAAATAACAAGCATTTCACTTTCTTCCTCTCTACTGATTTAAAAATATTGCATGCCTCTCTCTAAACAGAAATACAATGATACTCTCATCATCAATGAAGATGCAAGGACTTGTGATGCACTGGTGTACTTGACTGAATTTTTCAATGACATCAGAAGTGGAGGGTTTGATGAGACAGATCAACAGTTAACAGCGAACTTTGAAGGTACTTCATGCAGCCCCTCTGAGAAGTGCAAGTACCGGGAGGGGGTTGGGAGGTTGTTTATGATGGTCCAACTTGCTTCCCCTCCTGCGGGGTGTCCCTGCTTAGAGGTTCTGACTGTTGGGGTCTAGACTCTCAAGCCAGTTGTTGGCTTGAAACCAGCTTTGCCTTCCCTCTATTGTCCAGTGCAGGAAAAGACTTTTTAAAGTTAATGGAAAGTCTGAGATTCCCTGTGCACCTGGTGGACAAATGGCCTGGCTTATCAGTGGGGACTGAACTTGGGACCTTCTGTGCTAAGACCAGGAACGTCTATCCCTTAAGCTAAAAGAAGAAATAAACTTGCTGTCAGCTATTGCAGAGTCTGTCTCCTATGTGGGCCCGTCACTCTCACTTTCTTGCTGTGTTATGTGAGAGCTGCGGGGGAGGGAGCAATCTCCAGTGCTAGCAAAGGAGGGAGGAGTAGGGATGGGACATGTGCTGCACTCCATGCTAGTTGGGCTTGTACTTCCCCAGCTCTCCTGGCAATATTACAGCAATGCCTCCAGGAGCTGGGATGCTCACCCCCTTCTTGAGCTGCGGTTTAATGCCACAGGGTAGCCTGTGCATTGAATTTGGAGAACAGCTGAGTAAGAAATGAAGCGTACAGAATCCGGCTCTGATCCTGCAGCTCTGCAGACTAATTCCTGTTGAGATCTGTGTGTCAGATGCGGGATCTGTCTGCACAGAGACAATAGGAGGATAGCCCCGCTCCAAGGTTGTAGATTGATGCTTACTGGTAGCTGGTTAGCCAGTGCTTGGTGAGGTTGGAGCAGCCTTCTGCCCGCAATGGTCTGGTTAAACATATTGGCTGTGTCTAGACTGCATCCCTTTTCCGTAAATCCCCCCGCTTCATTTGCATAAACATGGCTGCTGCTTTTTTCCGTCTCGGAGCTTTGCCGGAAAAAAGCGCCAGTCTAGACGGGGATCTTGTGGAAAATAGCCGAAAAAAAGCGCCAGTCTAGACGGGGATCTTGTGGAAAATAAAGCCTTTTCTGAAAGATCCCTTATTCCTTATTTTAAGAGGAATACGGGATCTTTCGGAAAAGGCTTTATTTTCCGAAAGATCCACGTCTAGACTGGCGCTTTTTTCCGGCAAAGCTCCAAGATGGAAAAAAGCAGCAGCCATGTTTATGCAAATGAAGCAGGGGGGATTTAAATCCCCGCTTCATTTGCAATTGCGATGTGTCTAATTTGCATCCCTTTTACGGAAAAGGGATGCAGTCTAGACACAGCCATTCTGGTTAAACAGAATTTTACATCCCTGCCTTGGAGCATGTCTACATGGCAAACCAGGGTACTTGACATTCACAGCCTGGTAGAGCCAGCAGAACCAATATTAGTCTTTAAAAGAGCCAATTTTTAAAAGCAGTTTTTGATTCAGAGGGTATGCTGCTATGATTTCAGATTCAGAATGCAAATGATTCAGAAAAGGCTCGATAGGGACTCGCTTAAATGTGTACACTTTTTGGGTGGTTTTTTTATGAAGGCAGTCGAGAATCTTTGAAGAAGTTCAGTGCAAGGGACAGTCCCTTGACACTCGGCAGCTAGATGTGGGTCTGAATGCCATTCGCTGGAACAGAGGATGCTCGCTGTGATCTGAGGAGATCCGTGTTTTCTTCCAGCTAAACAACAGGAACTGAAAGCAGCCTCAGAAGACGAGCTGAGTGAGAATCCCAAACTGGAGGAGCTCACCTTCATCCTGGATGAAGAATATCGCCTAAATCCAGAGACCCGAACGATTCTCTTTGTTAAAACCAGAGCTCTAGTGGCTGTAAGGCCTTCTCTCCTCAACACTACGAAAAGAGGCAGCTAGAAAATAAATCCGGGGGGAGCATGCTTAGCCTGTTTTTCTTGCCAGACAAAATGCTGTTAATTAAGTTTTCTTTACCCATCTTGAGATCTGTTTAACTGGTGGGGGCCATTAGGAGAGGATCCCCTTGTCACAGCCTAATGTGACACTATTTTAATGTAATTTAGATGGAACGTGAGTATGTGACGCCAGGCGTTACAGCTAATGGCTGCTGCTCTTCAGACTGGCTGCAGAGGAAGGCTTTAGTTTAGGCCTACCAGTATGGCTACAGGGAAACCATATTGATACACATGATACACATTGATTGCACATGCCAGGGGCTCTTTGTATCCCTTTCTGTGGCCAAGAGCTTGGAGAGTGTTACTAACAGGTGTCTTTCATTCCAGGCTTTGAAGAAATGGATTGATGAAAATCCTGCCCTCAGCTACCTGAAACCAGATACATTAATGGGGCGTAGCAAACGAAATGAGCAGACAGGTATGGGAGTTTGCACTGAGGGAAGGGAATTGTATGTTCCCAAATCACATTATTGCATCATCTTGGTATTCACTTTCTATATTCCAGGACAAGTCAACGAGTAACTCCCCAAGCTAATACTACAATTCCTGCATCAATACTAGGGAGGGATCTAAAATGTATAGGAGACTTTAACACCCAGATGGACTCCTGCTTTTCCTGCCAGAATCTGTGGTTAAAGTGCTAAGTGCATTAGCAACAATATTTTGCTCTGCAATTCTGCTAGATAAAAAAAATAAAAATCCTTCATCCTCTCTCTTAATTCTAGCAATGCAATGGGTGTTCTCTGTTCAGAGGTAAACAAACATTTAAAAATGTGACTGTACCAAACAGAATAAATCTGACAGTTTGCCAACCTCTGAGTGCTTCCCCTGATCCAGGGAACAAGGATCTCATTAAAACAAATCTGTTAAGGACAGCTTCAAATACTTGTGGAAGTGTAAAAGAACGTTGCTTGCTCAAGCAATTCAGTGTGACGCTTTCACAAGAATCTCCCCACGTTAGATATGGTATGGCACGGCTTTCGAGTCATTTAGGAGTAAGCTTTATATCTTGATTGGTGGTGTTTTTTCTCCAGAGTCTTCATAGCAGACAGACTGACTTTTGCTACTGACTGCAAGGGTAATGTAGATATTATTTGATTTCAGTATCTCTCAGTGCATTGTATTCTAACTTTGCATTGTAGGCATGACACTCTCCAATCAAAAGGGTGTACTGGACTCATTCAGATCCAACGGAGACAGTAAGATACTAATAGCTACAGCGGTTGCCGATGAAGGGATTGATATTGCTCAGTGCAACCTGGTCCTCCTTTATGAATACTCTGGCAATGTCACCAAAATGATCCAAGTCCGAGGTATGAGACACTGGAACTTAAAACTATTCTGTGAACATGGTATAGGTTTAGAAAATACCCCAGTCAGCCCCTCTGGTTGGCAGTCATCTTTACTTAGTGTATTTATCTTACTCTTATTTCTCAATATTACTTTGTGTTTCTAGATGAACGAAGGTTCAAGACAAGTCTTGATGTAAGTTTGTCATAGGATAGAGTCGTCATTTATAAAGTGGTGTGTATGTGTAAGTAAATTATACACATCACGTAATGCACGCCTCATATGATAGTGCTCCGCTTTCAAGGAACATCACTTAAGCACGTATGTGTAAGTAAATTATACACATCACATAATGCACGCCACATATGATAGTGCTCCACTTTCAAGGAACATCACTTAAGCATGCATTTGTGCATGCAGATATGCACAGAATAATAATATAACCCCACATGCAATTCGAGGTGTTGCAAAATATGCCCCCATAGAGAAATCAGAAGAAATTCCATTCTGCTTGCATAGTTATTTGGCCCTTGTACTCAGTGCTGTGCAGAGGCACAATCTGTCCTTAAACTTGTATATAACAGAGTGCCATCAGGTGTATTGTTGGAAGCATGGCTTGAATCTGGGACTCATGGACTTAAAAAATGAGTGTCAACTGCCTGAGCTAAAAGAATGTAGTGCTCATAAAATGAGTCAGTCAACCTCTAAAGGGGGCTAGAGGACCATACTCTAACTGTGGAAACAAGCAGCAGTCCTGTGGCACCTTAGAGACTAACAAATACATCATGAGCTTTTGTGGGTAAAACCCACTTCATCAGATGAGCTAGGTTACACTTTCAGCTACAAAAGGGGAAAATGGTGCTAAATTACCCACCTTTCTTTAACAATCCTCTGCAGTATTTAATTTTGTCACCAGAGCTATGAAATTCAATACTGCTGTGAAATGGTTATTCTATTAATTTTAATTGATCTTTCATTGAGTGAGCTCCTGGCATGTGGCATTTGTATCAGACACTCAGGGCATGTCTACACAGCAGGGCCAAAGCTGAAATAAGCTATGCAACTTAGGCTACGCAATTAACGTAGCTGAAGTCGAAATTGCTTATTTCAGCTTTTGGAACTGTCCACACAACAGGAGCTCCAAGGTGGAACACTCTTCCTCCGACTTCCCTTACTCCTCAGGGTTAAGGAGTTGGAGTAAGAAGCCATCCAATGTCGAAATAACTGCTTGTAGTGTAGATGCAGGCTATATTATTTAGGAATAATACCAATTATTCTGAAATAACACGGCTGTATAGACGTACCCTGAGGGTCCTGGTTTTAGTATTTATTTTTGTATTAAATAATTACTTCAAAATTAGAGGTTTAAAGTGTTAAAGGAAAAAGATTTCACTTGCTGCTAGTGCTGTTGTAAATACCTGCAAAAGAAGTTGGGTATATTAGCTCCACTTAAAATTAGTTTTGGAACTTGAGCTGAATGTGGGAAATAGCTGGTTCTAACAAAGCCCCTCTGTAAAATTATAGGATAATATGGCAAATCCTATATAGTAGTAATAGTCTGTATCATCATAGAGCCACAGACCAGTTGAGATCAGAGCTTCATTATGCTGGGTATTGAGAAAATACACAGTGAAGAGATAAACCTTCCTCTAATGGTATTTCCTCTTGTCACAATCAGTTTTCAGTTGCTAAATTTGTATTGGTTTTGGTGGTAACCCAACAATAGGACAGAAGAACATTCCTCACTTAGCCTTACAGATTTTTCTAAAAGAAACCAGTGAGACAAAAGGCCCAGGTTGCTGGCTATAACGTATGACTGAATCACCCTTAAAGGTTTCGTGCATCAGTGTGTAACACTGAAGAGAGAACATGCACAAAATAAGGTGTGATCTTTGTAACTTCAAAATTTCATGGAGTAAGTGTGGTTATGTTGAAGATGCTAGTTTAGACAGAGGGCCTGGCCTAATGAACTTGAACTGGGAGCCTTTTCTGAGCATGCTTCAATGTGGGGATAGGTAAGGGACACAAGAAGAGCCCTGCAGAAGTGTAACGCTCCCAGTGTCACCATGCCCACTGAGACACCTGCTCTGTGACACAGCCTGTCTGCTGTTTTGCTCTGTTCTCTGTAGATGGTTCTAAAAGGGCTAATTGTCACCCGCAGGCCGTGGAAGGGCAAAAGACAGCAAATGCATCCTTGTGACCAGCAAAAGCGAAGTGGTTGAGAATGAGAGAAACAATATTTATCGGGAGGAGATGATGAACCAAGCCATTGAGCAGTTGCAGGAGTGGGATGAGGATCGGTTTGCAAGGAAGGTAGGTCCACTCGCATTCTGTATTGATTCTGTCACGTGAGAGACAGACCCTAACCTGGGCCGTGTCACAGGGCTATCTCAGCTGCACCGAGGATTCACTCGGGATAAAATTCTCCGTATGAACAGAGCACAAGGTCTGTGTGCCAGGTAAGGCCTTGTGCTCAACCAGTGCACCAGGAAGGGATAAATACCCCCAGTATGTGCTAATCCATTGTGTAGTATTTCTGGGTGCTGCTTCACCCCAATGGTAGCTGCAGATCACCAGATCAAAGTGGGTATTAGAGCCATCTATTTGCACTTTTATGGACTATTGCATTAGTGCACAATTGGACACTTATGTGGCAGGTGTTCAATATGGTAAATGATCATTTCTTCTTGGAGCTGTGAGTGGGCTTAATAGCACTGAAACAATTTCTAACTATTGATGACAGAAACCAGATAAAGCCCAATTAGTTTTTGTGTCCACATTGGGTTATCTGATTTATGTTCTGGACTATTCCAGACTTGCTCTGAGTTTACAGTAGCAATGTCCTGTTTCAGTTGCAGTGGCCTCTGGCTACTGAGTGCACAGCTCCCTGAAGCAGTGGATTCTGGGGAGACTTAAAAGGATCGTTGGTGAGCAGCTTGGGACTGTAGAAGGATGCCTCTTTGAATAATTTGCTTGATTATGCCAGGTCCCCTCAATCCACCCAAGTACTGGAATGGTGGTTAGGCTCACTGTAAGCCAGTCTAATCCTGACAATATTTGACCTGGGCGTTACAAATATGCTGGGAGTATCATCCACTGCTTAGAACGGAAAGTCCCCACTGTGGAGATCACCCTCCTTCACAGATTGTGCCAGTAGCAGCCTCGGGGCAAGACTCTTGACACCAGCTAATCAGCAAAGCTCCATCGATTTCCACACCAAAATTCACTTTGGCTCCCACAGTATTTCAGCTACCACAGAGGTGAGAAGCAGCAGCTGTCTAGTACTGTCAGTGGAGTAACATCACTTTACAGCTGCTGAGGAGCGGATCTTGGAGATCGCATTGCATTGTGATGTCACATCCCTGAGGCTCTGTTAAGATCTGCAAAAACCTTAATCTCTCCTCAACAGGCTCAAAAGTGATTTGTCCCCAGGCCCCCCCCCTGCTCCCAAGGTTTTCCGTCACCAGCCGAGACAGGTGCGGGCTTCGTATTTCTGCTAGAAAGAGACTTTGTTCAAGAACTGGGTGTCAGGTTGCCCGTCACACATGTATCTTCTACTTCTATATCCATTCATGTGTGTGGGGATAACTGGGGTTAGCAATTCTGCAGAGAACAGGGGTGGTTCCTTTGGCCAGAGTTATTAAGCTTGAGAGACTGAGTCTCATTTTCATCAGGAGCAGTAGAGAGGACCTAGAATTCCACCATGACCTCCATTTTAGAGACCAGACCTATAGCTGGTGTAAATCAGCATAGCTCCATTGACTTCACTAGAGCTACACAGATCAACATCAGTTGAGCATTTATCCCTCTGTTTCTTGGGTCATAATATCCATGTGTTCCTATGGCTTTGCTTTTTAGATAAGTAACCTACAAAACAAGGAAAAGGCAATGCGAGACTGCAGGAAGAGAGAGAAAAAACAAAAGCCGCTGGGTGGCAATAGGGAATTGCTCTGTGGGAAGTGCAAAACTTATGTCTGCAATACAGAGGACATCAGGGTTATAGCGGTAAGTGTACGTCTTCGGAAGCTGTGAATGTTATGCTTTGCAAGTAGTTTACCAGCTGTGTCTTACCAGTCCCATTTTAGTGTTACAGTGGGGGGTGGAAGTTAAAATATCAGATGGATGCAGAAGGGGACATAAATCGGATCTAGTACTAAAATTCCTCTAGTCTACCCTGTTACTGGTGGCCAGCACCATATGTTTCAATGAAAGGTGGAAGAATCAGTGTAGCATACAGTTTCATGGAACAAGGACCTGTAGGAGACATTTTTTCCTAAGCCCAATGTGTTAGTGTTTACCTCATGCACAAACAGTGGTTTATATCCTGTTTGTATGCTACTGAATGTAACTGGAGGTTCACTTCCCACATCCAGGTTAAAAAATCCTGCTAAGCTTTTTGCTGAAGATTAGTATTGAATTGATGATTTCTAGGTGTTATTTATAGGGGGATAAAAGTTAAACTCATTACCTTTCCGTTTCATTGGCTATCCCCTCGGTCCTATATTGTGACAGAGGCTATATAGGAGCGCACAATTTACTATGTCTACTATTCAATATTTTATATAGCTCGTGTCCTTTCTTTCATCTCTGCACTAACAGCAGTGATCTTCTCAAGCACTCCTAGGGAAGTCTCTCCAGACCTAATAATTTTCATTACCCATATCTGAACCCCTTTTCTCTGGTGTGCATCTCCTGAGATGCAGGGAGCAGAAGAGAGCACACTGTTCCCAGGCAGGACGTATTACAGGGGGTCCCCGCTATAAGTTGCCCTGGCATACATCCGTTCCACACTAAAGTTGTTGACATTTGTAGGAACTGATGTGTTATAAGTCTTCCCATTCCCCCCTATACGTCCTGTGAAACACTCCCCCCAATTTGCTTAAATGGAAGTCAGCTGTGGGAAAAAATTGCCTGCTTTAAGTTGTTTTGCTATAAGTCCCAAGTTTTTTGGAACATATCTTGGACTTACAGCGAGGAGCCCCTGTATTGTTTTATAGAGCAGCGTTATTCTCTTTAGGATTTATTCTCTCTCTCATTGCTTAGGCAGTGCCCAGAGATTGCCAGCTTCCTACATGTACAAAACCAAACATCCCTGTCCTGTCCCCTCTCTGAGGCCCCACTCCCCGGCCTACTCTCACTTGCTCATTTTTACCAGGCTGGCTCAGGTTAAGATGTAGGCAGCGCCAAATTTAAAAATAAGCTCTTTAGATTCTGAATAAACTGCCCAGTTTGCATAGCTCATTCTGACAGAAGCGTTCTGTCTGGATGCACCCAACCTCTTACTGAGACTTCACCAAAGCTTGCACATTACATCTGGTTTTACAAGTTTCATGAGAGAAAGGGAATGAGTGACCTTATCTTACTTTTGTAAGGGAATTTTCTTTCCCATCGTTGCTATTGTAACTCAAGCTGTTTTGTATAGAATAAGGCCTTGTGGTTTAAACACAGTGACAGAGGTAGAATTCCCTTGGGTGTCCAACATTAGTTGGCACTTTGAAAATGCCAGTCACATGGGTAGAATACTTGTCCCAATGCTGCTGCCAAGTAGGCTATGAGGGTAAAACTTAAAGGTTTTTTTAATGAAAGGAACTCCCGTATGAAGGCAGACAAATGGAAATTTTTTAAACGCTAATAAATTTCTGGTATTAAGCTGCATCTAATAATTTGTACTGTCACTTTAGGAGTCTCACCACACAGTTGTAGATGCCCAGTTTAAGGAACGCTTTATAACGAAGCCTCACAAACGGCCAAAACGATATGGTCAATTTGAGAAGAAATGTAAAATGCACTGCCAGGATGCCAAGTGCCAGCATGACTGGGGAATCACAGTGAAGTACATGGAATTCGATGACTGTCCAGTGATCAAAATCGAAAGCTTTGTGGTGAGAGACATCACAACTGGAAAACTCTCAAATTTCCGGAGATGGAAAGATGTCGATTTTGCAATGAAGGAATTTGACACTAATGAAATGTTAGTTATTCTGTGCTAAACAGGACATCTGATTCCCTGCCATCACACAGTGTGAACTATTTCAAGATACACACAGGACTCTTCCTAACTACCTACCTTATTTGCTGAATGGGTAAACAGCAGACTTGCTTAAAGAGGATTCTGTTCTCTCTCATTGGTAACTCAAAGTTTAAGGTGGATGAAGACTAATAATGCTCTACTCATTATTGTGCTTCATACAATAAGTGATAGATGTTTTGTCCATAATTAGTTAAAAGTACAAACAAGCAGCTTTTTTGGTCAAGCTTACCATCTAATTACCTAATGAGTCTGGCATTCTTAAATAAGAAGGAGTAAACACTTTGTCACCTCCTATAGACAAGAGTGAGCACTTCCTACTTTGTATTCTGGCTGCATGCTTTGTTAAGTCTTCTCCTTTACAAAACAGTTTATGGAAAAACAAGTTTCCTGTGTAATCAAACTGCCAATGGTTAAACATTTAGCTATTTGCATGTATTTTGCACTGATTCGCTTTGTTGCCCTTTTTGCAGACCATGGAGCCAGAACACATTACATATTAAATTCAATTATCTTGCTTCAGAACTGCTTGTGTGGTTTGCCTCCAGCCTTCATTTATGCTAGGTTGTAGAACTGTTTGCAGACAAAATATAAAGTAAATTGTTTAATCGTCTGTTTCCATTGCTACATCATTATTTTCCTGCTCTAGGGTTTCAGAAAGTTCCCATTTATAAGAGCCCATGTGGTCACTCTACTTACCTCTGTTAAACTGCAATTAGAAACTGTACTACAGTAAAGCACACTATGGAACTTTTTGTGCATGCTACCCTTCCATAAAGACAAGCACAAAGATTTTCTAATTCAAATAAGCAGGAGGTCAGAGGAAGTGATCACAACAATTTCTCATCGTGCTTTGAGTCCGATTCCCTCCCCTCCATCCTCTTTAATCAGACTTACTAGGAATGTTAAATTGTTATCTATATAATACTCATAATGGCAGGTTAAGAGAAATTAAGAACCAAAATGCATCTTTAAAGAGCCACAAACAATATTCCTTTTGCACTATTAGCATGAAAACTACTGCAGTAGTTACTACTTACCTGTAATTTTTGGTAGATAGGATGTTTATCACTGTGAAAAACCATAAACTGTACTTCTCAAATATACTCGGGCCTTCCTCAGGAAGATAAAAGGAAAGTCCAATGCTTTGATCAAACTTTTTTGAAAATAGATTTAATCTCTTAGAAATTTGTCCCTCAATGGTCCACTGTCACAACAGAAATTTAGTGCTTAGAGAAGATATTCTTAAAGGAAGAGCATTCACAGTGTAGTTAGAGCCAAGCAATTTACTAATTTCAGCATTAGCCCCTCTCAGGGGATTCTGATCAAATCCTATTTAAATAGAGGAAATAAGGGGGGGGGGGGTTAAACATCCGTGCCAGTTTTCAGGAAACTGAAATGAGTACAGTGCTGTGTCTGGCTGATGACAGGTGTCAGTCAAACACACCTTGTATACAAATTGTTTGGGCAGTGTGTACAGCTCCTTCTGCATCAACCCATACTAGAATAGTTAATCTAGCCACCATACCAAAAAAAGTACTTAATTGGGAATAATTAATGATTGTGTCATAAAACTGAAAGCGTTCTACCTGTGTAAACAAGCCCCCCCCCCGGGTTATACAGTCCACAAGGAGACAACTGATTTTGTGGTTTAGACTTTTAAGTTCCACAAGTATTCAATGTTCTCTTGTGGCCATCAGAGGCAGGTTTCTAACTGGGCATTTGCTTGCTGTTGCTTTAATTAGGATGCCATTTTACGGATCATGTAGTTCAGGATGCCCCCATTGCGGAAGTACGTGAGCTCCACATCAGTGTCAAATCTCATGGTGGCTTGGAAAGTTTTGCCAGTATCCAGCTGTGGGGATGAGAGAGAGAACAGCAGTGTCAGTTCTGCTATCTGAATGACTGAATTCTGTAAGTACTCCCAGTGCAACAGGATCTGCTAGTGAAATGCAGGTTATTTCCCACATTCCACTATAAGCCACTCTTGCTTTAGCACTGACAAACATTAACAACCAGCAATGTGCAGAAGTGGCAGAGTCACTTCAGTGGTCTACCTAGTGCAGTATCTTAGCTGCCTGGAGTTGGAGCCAGATATGAAACCTCAGTAACTTGGCTAGGAATAAATCCCCACATACAATTTCTACCACATTCTAGTCATTAAGGGTTTACGTAGGCCTGGAAGCACAAAAGCTTGTGTCCCTTCAAAGGGTTCTTAACTGTGCTTTTTTATTATCTAAATACAACTATTTACTGAAGCCAAGACTTTAGAAACAATGTGGTAAAAACAGTCATTCCATTAACTTTTTTTGCAGCCTCATTTTCTCACTTGTTACTGGCAACAAAGGGGGACAAGAAAAAAGATCAGTTATGAAAGGGTTAATTTTTAATCACGGTTTCTATACTAAAAGCCGTCCCTTTCCAGGAAGTGCACGCATTTTGAGAGAGCTACATTAAGAACTGATATTTGTAGTTCTTAGCTTACAGTACTTTAAGCAGTCTCTTTACCCACAACTCCTTAAACATAACTAGATTTACTAATTTGAACACAGTGCGAAGGCAAAATGGTGGGGACCATCTAAAAAACATACTCCCCATCATCTGTTTGGACCTAGCATATGCTTACAGTTGAGTTGTATGTTGCTACTACAGTGCGCTGAGTGTTGTACAAAGTATGCAATGCATATGGGTTGAGCAAGTTAAACTTAAGATTCAGTGGACTACATCAGTGTTGATTAGCTGCATGAAAGAATTGCTGGATTTCCTCCTTTGCCACAATCTCTGTACAAAGGTGTCACCCACTCAACAAAATTTACAAATAGCAGGGGCTGGACCAACAATACTGGAAGGTGAGACTAAAGATGTGAAAGGTTAACTGGTGGGGGCCGGAGCAGTGCCGTTAACAGGAGGTTGCTCCACAGGCTGGAACAGCCTCTGTCCATAACAGGCCTGGGTGCCCCGCAGGTAGGAATTGCTCCGGCCTGGCTGAAGCAGCTCCTGACTATTATGACAGGGGGAGCAGGGATCATCAGGTCCTCTGCCAGCTCCCCCTTTAACCAATTTAAACAGGATTTTACATCCCTGGGGAGGAAGGACATGGGGCTGCTAATTCAATGGTGCTTTTGAAAATCCAACCTTTGTGCTTCTGATTACCTTGATCTGGACATTCATCCCTGGTGCAAGTTCTTCAGGAATGACAATTGTGTAACGTTCCCGTCCTGTGAGACCTAGATGCTCAGCATCCTCTCCAGGCAAGTACTGCAGGGGAATCACTCCCATTCCTACCAGGTTACTGCGGTGGATGCGTTCATAGCTCTCGGCCAGGACAGCTTTGATTCCCTGGGAAATGCAGAGTCTGCATTAGAACAGTCTCTCTACAGGCGGGCAGGAAAGTTCTCCTTATTAGCAGACAGTGGAGCCACAGGCAGAGAGAAAAAAAAATTGTCATGTTGTCTTTTAGGGTACGTCTAGACTACAGGCTTCTGTCGACAGAAGTTTTGTTGACAGATACTGTCGACAAAGCTTCTGTCGACAGCGTCTAGACTACATTCAGTTCTGTCGACAAAGCAAGCTGCTGTGTAGACGCAAAGGACAGTTTACATGCAGTAACACCTTCTGTCGACAGAAGGCGTTATGCCTCGTAAAATGAGGTTTACCAGCGTCGACAAAACTGAAGTCAGCGGTAGTGTAGACGCAGGTATAGTTTTGTCGACAAGAGTGGACTTTTGTCGACAAAACCCTGTAGTCTAGACACACCCAAGCAGGCTCAGAAGGCAGCTGTTCTGTGGATAAGTGTTTGTTTATATTATGCTTGTGTGTCCTTACTATTGATTTCATAGAGCACAGCAATCCCAAATAACACCCCATTTAAATAGAAACTTGTATTCAAACCCAGCCTTGTGGGAAATGAACCAACGGTCCAACCTACTCCATTGTCGCAAAGGACAAGTTCCCGTTTATGGCAGCGGGATCAGAACTCTTTCCAGTAATGCACCAAGTGCATTTCAATAGAATATAGGTGCCCCCTCGCCACCACCAGCCTCTGGCTGTGAGGTGCTAGACACCCAGGGAACAGAGTCGTTGGACCACAGGATGTTCAGTCCACATAAGAGTGACCATTACAAGCTCTACCCCTTTTTTGTTGGAAGGGTCCTGTGCAAACCAGCCTCTGAGTACAAAGCAATTGTACTCAAATTTGGGAGAACAGTGCGCACCTCCTGTTGAGTACAACCTATTGCTATTGGTTGGCATGACTTGTGGGTGGGCTTGGACTGCTCAGCTGTACCCTATTGCTTCTGAAACAGCAAGTCCTGTTTAAGAGCATGAAAAACTTAGCTATTCACTGGGTAAGAATAAATTTCCTTAGGAGGGATTACCGGCTTCCCAAGCACAGAGCTCTGCCTATGGGCTATACAATGGCTCCTAGCAAGGACTCTGGTGTGCACATGGCACCTGCTTCCCTCTGCTGGTTATTAACACTTGGAGGGAGTCAGACACACGCTTTGGAATATTCCCTCAATTTTTCTGAAACAGCAAGTCCTGTTTAAGAGCATGAAAAACTTAGCTATTCACTGGGTAAGAATAAATTTCCTTAGGAGGGATTACCGGCTTCCCAAGCACAGAGCTCTGCCTATGGGCTATACAATGGCTCCTAGCAAGGACTCTGGTGTGCACATGGCACCTGCTTCCCTCTGCTGGTTAACAACACTTGGAGGGAGTCAGACACACCCTTTGGAATATTCCCTCTGAATTCACACTCTTCACCCTCCAGGGGGCGTCTGGGCACAGGCTGCTCAGAGTTCACAACAAGGCAGGCTGCTTCTAGCATCTCCCGTCCCCACCTTCATTTATTAGAGAGCCACTCACCAGTAGAAAAGGGCCCTTCGCTGCCCAGTCCCGGGAGCTTCCAGAGCCATACTCCTTACCCGTCAGCACAATCAGGGGGTGGCCTTCCTGCTTGTACCTCTCAGCAGCATCAAACACGTCCAGCTGGAAGGAAGCGCAGACATATTGGTTCTTGTGGTGTAGGAAGTGAAGAGCCCTACTGCTCCCACGTCTACCAGGAAGGTGCCCTAAGACCTTCACACACTTTCTTCCATAATCACAAACGTACAAAACTGCCGTTCGGCAGAGAGCCTATGACACAAGGGAAGTGTGTGTTGGTCAGAATGGGGGTGATACCGATGTAGTTCAAGACCACTCGAAATAGCTCTTTCAAGTCACTTAATACAGTGTCCAATCCCAACATAGCTACCTCTTCCTATACCTACAGGATCACTTGTGCACCCCACCCTGCTTTATACTGGGTGGTCTCTTGCCACAGGTGCTACGGGCAGAGCTGCAATAGCCAACAGTAGTGGAAGAGGTATTTTGTATGTGGGAATGAGAGCAGACAAGGACTCTCTCGAGGGTATTTTGTATGTGGGAATGAGAGCAGGCAAGGACTGCATCTCTACACACATGCCATTAGATTTCTCTCTCGAGTTCTGTCTGTCTTTAATGATCTCTAGCAACACACAGGCTACGTCTACAATGGCATCCCTTTCCGGAAAAGGGATGCTAATGAGACGAGTCGCAATTGCAAATCCGCAGGGGATTTAAATATCCCCCGCAACATTTGCATTTACATGGCTGCCGCTTTTTTCCGGCTTGGGGATAAGCCAGAGAAAAGCGCCAGTCTAGACATGACTCTCCGGAAAATAAGCCCTTTTCCAGAGGATTTCTTATTTCTACTTGAAATTAGGAATAAGAAATCCTCTGGAAAAGGGCTTATTTTCCGGAGAGTCATGTCTAGACTGGCGCTTTTCTCTGGCTTATCCCCAAGCCGGAAAAAAGCGGCAGCCATGTAAATGCAAATGTTGCGGGGGATATTTAAATCCCCTGCGGATTTGCAATTGCGACTCGTCTCATTAGCATCCCTTTCCCGGAAAGGGATGCCAATGTAGACGTAGCCACATTGAGCTAGCTATATCTACATAACCTCTTTGTATATTGATACAAGAGACCTCAGAGTTCTGAACGGATTGGTGAGTTACACCTCATTTGGAATCAGAAGCATGACATCAGGAAGCAGTAAAGATTAAAAACCAAAATTCACTACAGCCTTAGCCAACACTACTGAAACAATAAAAGGGAAAGTTACCGCTTTGACAAGCATGGAAACAGTTTCCTTCAAAAGGGAAAGTTACCGCTTTGACAAGCGTGGAAACAGTTTCCTTCCTTTGTTTCATTTAAAAATAGGATGGTTAAAAGCAGCATTTTTCTCCTCCAAAGTCAAGTTTAAGAGTAAGAAGTCAATGTTTAGTTGTAAATTTTTCTAAGAACATTGAGTTGTTCAGAGTTACAAAGAACTTCCATTCCAAAGTGTTCATAACTCAGATTCCAGTGCATACATATTGCTACATACAACGTACAGACCATCAATATAGATGTGTTCTCTAGAAAGCTCATATTTTAGAGAGCCAGAGTCTCAAGCTGGTGTAAGTCAACATAGCTCCAGTGTAGTCACTGGAGTTACATCAGCTGATGCTAGCTAAGGATCTGAGCCAAGGACCTTAAACCAAAAATAACTATTGCAGGTTAAGTCACTCTGCCCAGGTAGGCAGCCCCAGTGTGGATCAAGCAGTGTACTCACTGTTTCTCCAGATGGGAAGTGGATGGTCTGGGGTGCCTGCTTATTGATGAATTTGTTTAACAAGCGAATGTTTGCAAATGTCCCTCTGACCATGACAGCATCGTTACCTCTGCGGGAGCCGTAAGAGTTGAACTCCCTGGGAGTCAAGCTATTAGAAAAAAAGACACCGGTGTTTATTTTTAAGCTGAAGTGGCTGCGTAAATCCAACGTGCAGCAGCATCTATGACGCTCGAACCAGCCATCTTGTCAATGCTGTTTGTCTGAAAGCTCTATCCTAGCACTCACGGGGTCCCCAGATCTTCATTACTTCTATATCAACACCTCTCTCGCCAGCGCCTGGAACATGGACCTAGGCAAAGAGGCTACCAATGCACTATTACCCAAGCACCATGCACCACAGATGCTATAACAGAAGCCAGGCTGCGGTTAGCTTCCAGAACCACTAGCACTCTCCTCAGATCAGCTGCTACTTAATCACCATCATTGATCACTTCCATTGCTATAGCAGCTGGGTCTCCAACCAGTGCCCCTTATTCCAGGCACTGTTTGAATCAGTAGAACAGAGACTGTTCTTGGGCTCTCTGGGGCAAGAACATTGAGGGAGGAGGGAGGTAAGGCAGGTCTACGTGGGAATATTAAGTTATACATGACCCCTTCCAACGGAGCCAGTAACAGACGCAGAGCACAGAGCTGGGTTGTTTGAACTGGGATACAGCCAAAGTGCGACTTGAACACATTACATTAGTTTTGCAACTTGTGCATGGGACTTTAGACTTTTAGCCCAATTGACATCAATGGGACTTGTGCCCATGATGCAAGAATGATTTGCATTCAGTAACCTCTGGTGCATTAAAACCTGTTGAAAGGCTTGTGTTATAAAACATATTTTTTAAAAAAAAATCATTGTGTGTAAATTTCAGAAACAAAGAAGGACTAGGGACTGACACGATGTGCGAAACAGAATGGAGAGCCCAGCTTGAGACACAATTTCAACACTAACCCAAAGGCTGGCAGACAAAACCACAGACCTCTCAGAGAACAGCAAGGCAAGAGGGCAGTGTGCTCAAGCCTGTGCCAGCTGCACTGACCAAGAAGGAAGATCTGAACTCGAGCTTCCATAGTCCAAGGTGTCCTGGTTTGACCAATGGAGTCCCATACAAGAGAGGAAATGAGTTTAGGGTTAAAGTTTGGTACTAATGAAAATTCTGCAAGTTTTGCTGTTGACACCAATGGAACCAAGATTTGGCTGGATTATCTGGAAGAGAAATGGTTGATGCAGCTCTTACTGTAAGAGAAGCAAAAATGTCAAGGGAGGACATAAGGTGAACATTGTTCCCTTGCCACATGATCCTTGGAAGGCAGCTGCTCCTGAGAACAGAAGGAGCAGCTCTTTCTGAAGAGGTTCTGATCAGTACAAGGCATTGAAAACATCAGGGAGAGATGGCAAATTAATTTCAACCTTCTTACTTGTACAGCACAATCACTGAACCCCAGTGTGAGAGGGGGAAGGAGCACAACATAGGATGTATAGGAGGGGGGGAAATATAAAGCACGTAACTTGACTTACCCTCTGCTGGTTAAATAACGAGCAGCGGGGCTATTCCTTGCTATATTCCCAGCTGGAGAGATGTGGTCAGTTGTTACAGAATCTCCCAAATTTAAGAGCACATAGGCATCAACTATGGATTTAGGAGGCTGAAGCTCCAACGTCTACCGAAAAGACAAAATGAAAAAAAATAGTGACCAAGAATTTGCTGAGTTAGTTGAAAAGAGCAAGAGGCACTCTATAAGGTTACTAAACTGACCAGTCCAAAAAAAAAAAAAAATCCACCCATTCTCCAATCAAATCTCCACCCTCTGAATATTCAGTACCTGTGTTGCAGGATTTTTGTTTTTTTGGAGGCTTTTTTAATCTTGGCTATTTGGGGGGAGGAGGGAGATCCCCTGGGGGACTATGAGAGCAGAATTCAGCCCGGTGGAAGTCTGAAATAACTTATCACATCTGTGAATTACTCCAGCTATACATCATTTTAACAGAACTGGGCCCTGAATTCAGTGTAACTGCCCTGGAAGTGACCAGGAAATTCTTTGGAAAGAAAAAAAAAGTGCCTTACCAGGTTCTCAAAGAAAGGAGGTGATTTAATGTATGTAGATTTAAGATCCCAAGTATACAGTTTATCCGATGGAGCAGCTAAAGCATTCCAGGATTTATTTACTGTCTGAAAAACAGAAACTCGCATTACATTTTCAAAAGAATTTAAGTGACTTGGAAGTCTAAGTGACTTTTAAAAATGGGTCTCAAGCTTTTGAAAGTGTTCCCCTCCCCCCACAGTGCTTTCTTACATATCTGCTGGAGAATCTTCCTAGTATGCCATTGTGTGATTCTGTGCTATCATCTAAGTACTGAAACAACCTTCACTTCATTACAAATCGAACCTCGGTCAGACAGCTGGCCATATGTCCGGAGAATACTCTAATATTCTACGGCACTTTTCATCCAAGCATCTCAAAGCACATTCCGCAAATTCGTGAATTAAGCCTGAATACCCCTAGGAAGGCATGAAAGTACGGCAAACACATGTTTTCTTGTTTGGATATTAACATACAATGTATCTGTGCCAGCCAGAAATCCCTACAGAGATGGTAATCTCCCTTAAACAGTGTTGTCTCTCTCATCCAGCATTCTATCAGCTACAGGATTACACGAAGCAAAGCACCCTGGAACAATGCAACCACCATTTAATCTACAGGAATTTGCCAGCTATACGTCCTACTTTTAAAATTACTACTTTTAACAGGAGCATGGTAAGTGGGAAAAATATACTTCATTATCTAAATACCATCAGAAGCTATTCTTGCTGAAGTACACCCGTCAGTTAATGTGATAAACTAAGTAATTGATTCACCTCTATTTTCTGGTAGACTTCTTTAAACATCCCTGGAATGACGTATTGATGCTCAACTGCCTGGATCTCGTCTCTTGTTGGCCAGATGTCTTTTAGGAAAATTTTCTTTCCTTCTGCATTTACTCCTGTGAGAGAGCACACACCATGTGGTAACAAACATGCCCCTTGAAAAAGTGACCCAGTTTCTGTGTGCTATGTTCGTACCCCTTGTTCTCTACTGTACTCCACCCTTGGAGACTATGCTGCCTTTTTTTTCCAGCCTGGGCTAGCCTGGTAGGTGGAATCTTTGACCCAGTGGAGTGGGGTCACCTGCAGCTGTTGATGACAGTCAGGGTGAACTCTCATTAGTATTTTCTAGGTGGTCTGCCAGGAGATGCTGTGTAAAGCAAGCGTCTGTCTTGCCTGAGACTGCTGAGGCCCAACGCCCAATATTCCCAAGAAGGCATTCTCTAGATTCAGGAGATTGGTGCGATTAACACCCCTTTCTCGTGTGCACATAGTGGCCAATATCTACTTGCCTTTTATCTCACATGACCCCTTTCTCGTGTGCACATAGTGGCCGATATCTACTTGCCTTTTATCTCACCTCGTTGAGCTCCTCACTAACCAACAAGTAAGAGATGTTTCTGCTGGACTCTGACACTCTTCACTGAGTATCAGTTAAATTTACTTAAAAGCATTGGGGGATACGGGAGAAATCCCAGCAGTTTCTTACCTAAAGGTTCTTTCTCAAAGTCAATCCTTACAGTCCCTGCAATAGCATAGGCTATTACCAGTGGCGGGGAGGCCAGGTAGTTGGCACGAGTATTGGGATGGATGCGACCCTCAAAATTCCTGTTTCCGGACAACACGCCCACGGCAATGAGGTCTCCCTGCAAGACAGCGGTAGAGACAAGTCAACAAAAAGGCCTTTGGGCTCAAATGCATTGGGAATGGCTTTACAGGTGAGCTCAGAGGAAAGAGCGATGGAACAGGGCAGCTAGCAAACAGCGCTACACAGCTCAGAGCTGCATACGACAGAGCAGTTTATGTAGTTAAACAGCAAGAGCATGGTTGAATGATGGCACGTGGTCTGGGTGGCCGTGGCTGGCACTGACCAGAAATCATCAGAGCCTGCATTTGGCTAAGACCTCTAATACATTAAGGAAAGGGCTCTGGTGAATCATCAGCACCGCATTTTCTCTGTCCTGTATTGTCCGGAAGGTCAGATTAGAGGCTTGGACCATCTTTTTCTTCTGTGTTGGTGCAGCACTTAGTACAATGGTCTGTAACCAGGGCTCCTAAGTGCTACTGTACTCCAAATAATAATCAAAATGGTTCTTTCTGGCACGGATATCTGGGATTGTTCTGAAAGCACATAAGTGGCCCTTGGAGGTCTTCCATCCAAACCCTGAGCCCACCCAACAGATGTGAGCCTGCAAGAGAGCTGGCTACAGACCACCACTGAATGAACTGCTGTCCTTAGAGTACCACTGAATGAGAGATTCAATCAACAGATGTGAGCCTGCAAGAGAGCTGGCTACAGACCACCACTGAATGAACTGCTGTCATTACAGTATTGCTGAATCAGAGATTCAACGTTTGGGCTGCATCCGAAGCAACACCAGCTGAGACTGCTCCACTGCCTTTTGTGGCCTGATGTTGCTTGGTATTCCCAGCAGGGAATACACAGAGGCTTATTTTGGCAGGGGAAAAAAAATGTTTTACACACAGAAGTCCTCCCATAAGCTTCTTAAATATGCAAGTCAAAGACACCAAAACTACAAACAAACAAGCTCCTCAACCAAACCATCGTGAAACTGGTTAACACTAAAGGCTGCACAAAGTGGCTAAGAGATTACTTCAGAATTCCAGGGCAAAACTGCATTTTGAACAGAAAAGCACAGTAAAATAGCAAGATTACACGTAGCCCTCAGCTATTCTGAAGATTTTCCCTTCCCCCAGGGCAAGCAGAAAACCTTCTTTGTCTCTTCAAAACATGGGTCTCACTAGTCCCCCTGCCCCCGTTAATATCCTTAGGTTAACAGAAAATGCATGTAAGAAACATCAGTTTTGATCCTGCTATTGAAATTCTGAGCTTTAGCTGAGAAGAGATTGCCAGTCACACGAAAATGTCTGGTTCTGGCACAGACAGATTCCTGGGAGGAGATATTTTTAGAGACCCAGCCTCTTTTCACCTCTGATCGATTCAGGAATTTAAGCTAGAGGCCACATTCAGTCCTGGTACAGACTAGATCCAACAACCCTAAAGTTAATGGATTTGCACCCTCTTACAATGGGGTTGTATTTGGTCTGCAGTTTCTAAAGGTCAATGGGAAGACTCCGTTTTCAAAAGGTGAGTAGTGATTTTGGGTGTCCTATTTCAAGGGCCTGCTTTTCCAAGGACAGGCACACAGCACCCCGAGAAGTGAAATCAGCCCCCTTTTAAAATGGGATCTTAAGTTGACCAGCCAAAAACAAGCATCCAAACCCACTAGTCATGTTTGAAAATGTAGGCTTCTATCTCCTCAAATCCAGCTATACAGCCCCATTAAAAGGGTGTTACAAGAAGGAGGGAGAAAAATTGTTCTCCTTGGCCTCTGAGGATAGGACAAGAAGCAATGGGCTTAAACTGCAGCAAGGGAGGTTTAGGCTGGACATTAGGAAAAACTTCCTGTCGGGGTGGTGAAACACTGGAATAAATTGCCTAAGGAGGTTTTGAAATCTCCATCTCTGGAAATATTTAAGAGCAGGTTAAACAGACATCTATCAGGGATGGTCTAGACGGTGCTGGGTCCTGCCAAGAAGGTAAGGGACTGGACTCTATGACGTCTCGAGGTCCCTTCCAGTCCTAGTGTTCTATGATTTATAAACACAGGCATTTGGATGGGGGATGTTATTCCAGGGGTTGCTCTCTGTTACCTTTCTAGACCCCCGTCCATTCTTTAGTTAGATAGAAATCTATTCTGGATTAAAATATGGACATCCCAACTAACGGGCATTTTCCCAGACACAAAAACATGCCTTTTATAAAGCTGCCTTCTACATCAACTTCAACGATGACGCTAGAACTTTCTACACATTCAGGTATGGCTAGACGACATGCCTCTGTCGCCAGAGGCATGTAAAATAGGCTACCCGACATAGTCAATGAAGCCGGGATTTAAATATCCCCGGCTTCATTAAAGTAAAAATGGCCGCTGTGCTGTGTCAGCTCAGCTGATTGTCGGCACAGTGCAGCAGTCAAGATGTGGATCGGTCGACAGGGAAAGCGGATGCGACCCTCAAAATTCCTGTTTCCGGACAACACGCCCACGGCAATGAGGTCTCCCTGCAAGACAGCGGTAGAGACAAGTCAACAAAAAGGCCTTTGGGCTCAAATGCATTGGGAATGGCTTTACAGGTGAGCTCAGAGGAAAGAGCGATGGAACAAGGCAGCTAGCAAACAGCGCTACACAGCTCAGAGCTGCATACGACAGAGCAGTTTATGTAGTTAAACAGCAAGAGCATGGTTGAATGATGGCACATGGTCTGGGTGGCCGTGACTGGCACTGACCAGAAATCATCAGGGCCTGCATTTGGCTAAGACCTCTAATACATTAAGGAAAGGGCTCTGGTGAATCATCAGCACCGCATTTTCTCTGTCCTGTATTGTCCGGAAGGTCAGATTAGAGGCTTGGACCATCTTTTTCTTCTGTGTTGGTGCAGCACTTAGTACAATGGTCTGTAACCAGGGCTCCTAAGTGCTACTGTACTCCAAATAATAATCAAAATGGTTCTTTCTGGCACGGATATCTGGGATTGTTCTGAAAGCACATAAGTGGCCCTTGGAGGTCTTCCATCCAAACCCTGAGCCCACCCAACAGATGTGAGCCTGCAAGAGAGCTGGCTACAGACCACCACTGAATGAACTGCTGTCATTACAGTATTGCTGAATCAGAGATTCAACGTTTGGGCTGCATCCGAAGCAACACCAGCTGAGACTGCTCCACTGCCTTTTGTGGCCTGATGTTGCTTGGTATTCCCAGCAGGGAATACACAGAGGCTTATTTTGGCAGGGGAAAAAAAATGTTTTACACACAGAAGTCCTCCCATAAGCTTCTTAAATATGCAAGTCAAAGACACCAAAACTACAAACAAACAAGCTCCTCAACCAAACCATCGTGAAACTGGTTAACACTAAAGGCTGCACAAAGTGGCTAAGAGATTACTTCAGAATTCCAGGGCAAAACTGCATTTTGAACAGAAAAGCACAGTAAAATAGCAAGATTACACGTAGCCCTCAGCTATTCTGAAGATTTTCCCTTCCCCCGGGGCAAGCAGAAAACCTTCTTTGTCTCTTCAAAACATGGGTCTCACTAGTCCACCCATCCCCCGTTAATATCCTTAGGTTAACAGAAAATGCATGTAAGAAACATCAGTTTTGATCCTGCTATTGAAATTCTGAGCTTTAGCTGAGAAGAGATTGCCAGTCACATGAAAATGTCTGGTTCTGGCACAGACAGATTCCTGGGAGGAGATATTTTTAGAGACCCAGCCTCTTTTCACCTCTGATCGATTCAGGAATTTAAGCTAGAGGCCACATTCAGTCCCGGTACAGACTGGATGCAACAACCCTGAAGTTAATGGATTTGCACCCTCTTACAATGGGGTTGTATTTGGTCTGCAGTTTCTAAAGGTCAATGGGAAGACTCCGTTTTCAAAAGGTGAGTAGTGATTTTGGGTGTCCTATTTCAAGGGCCTGCTTTTCCAAGGACAGGCACACAGCACCCCGAGAAGTGAAATCAGCCCCCTTTTAAAATGGGATCTTAAGTTGACCAGCCAAAAACAAGCATCCAAACCCACTAGTCATGTTTGAAAATGTAGGCTTCTATCTCCTCAAATCCAGCTATACAGCCCCATTAAAAGGGTGTTACAAGAAGGAGGGAGAAAAATTGTTCTCCTTGGCCTCTGAGGATAGGACAAGAAGCAATGGGCTTAAACTGCAGCAAGGGAGGTTTAGGCTGGACATTAGGAAAAACTTCCTGTCGGGGTGGTGAAACACTGGAATAAATTGCCTAAGGAGGTTTTGAAATCTCCATCTCTGGAAATATTTAAGAGCAGGTTAAACAGACATCTATCAGGGATGGTCTAGACGGTGCTGGGTCCTGCCAAGAAGGTAAGGGACTGGACTCTATGACGTCTCGAGGTCCCTTCCAGTCCTAGTGTTCTATGATTTATAAACACAGGCATTTGGATGGGGGATGTTATTCCAGGGGTTGCTCTCTGTTACCTTTCTAGACCCCCGTCCATTCTTTAATTAGATAGAAATCTATTCTGGATTAAAATATGGACATCCCAACTAACGGGCATTTTCCCAGACACAAAAACATGCCTTTTATAAAGCTGCCTTCTACATCAACTTCAACGATGACGCTAGAACTTTCTACACATTCAGGTATGGCTAGACGACATGCCTCTGTCGCCAGAGGCATGTAAAATAGGCTACCCGACATAGTCAATGAAGCCGGGATTTAAATATCCCCGGCTTCATTAAAATAAAAATGGCTGCCACGCTGAGCTGGCTCTGCTGATCATCAGCACAGCGCGAGTCAAGACGCGGAGCGGTCGACAAGGGAAGCCTCTGTCGACTGCTCCTGTAAACCATAGTGACAGAGGCATGTAGACTAGACATACCCTCAGCGACTGGTCGCCTCCTCGGCAGACAGAGCTGCCCATTCCCCACTGCCGCCTGGAGGGCTGCTTGTGGAGATCAACATCCCAAGGGCTTTCTACTGCTGCACCACAGGATGCTTTAAGTAGGATCATCTGCTCTTGCTGCAGTGCACCGTTGTGTGTGCAGGGAAGGTGTTCTCAGCTGTGTTAGAATCACAGCCCTCTCCTGCACAGCCCCTTGCCAGCAAAGCCTACCTCAATCTCTTGACCGAGTGAAATAAATAAGCAATTTTGTCTCTGAAAGACCGTCCAGCATTACCTGCTACAGAAGATTTAATAGCAGCTAAGTACCTGAGTGATGGCTTCTACTACAGGATCTGGAAGAGGTCCGCTGTTCCCAATGCAGGTCATGCACCCATAACCCACCACATCAAACCTAGAGACAGTATTAAATACATTAGCTCTCATAAGATGGGTATTGATTACTTCTTGATAATGCAAACAACCTGGCAATCAAGTTGTAACACATTTCCTCCCCGTGGGAACAACACAAACTATTCAATATTTTTTTCTGCTCAGGAAAATGTCTATGATAGTGGTGTGTGTTTTTATGCGGTTTCTAAAAAAGTGTATACATAAGTGCACGATTGGTGCACCTAATTTGCACGCAAAATTGCAACGAGTACAATATGTTGCATTCAGTCATTAGTGCATGAGACTGTAACAATGCATAATGCAGAGCATGTTTGTCATCAGTCAAGACACAGAACAAACTCCTGAACTGTAAGTCTTAAGCGCGATACTATTTTAGAATACTTATGTAAAGAAATAAACCATTCCCTTGCCCAACAATAAGTCTTTAGTGCAATCAAAGGCTCCAAAAGGCCAGCTTCTCAGCTAGTACAGGTTGCACCTCCCAAAACCAGAATTCTCTGGTCCAACAACCCAGACCACGGATGTTCCTTGATCAGAGAACCCTGGTAGACTAGTGGCAGGGGGGAATCCAGGAGGGGCTGGGTTAAGCAGCAGGAAAGAGCAGGGCGGGAGCTGGCAGCAGCCCCCAGCATCTCTTGACAGCCTGCAGCACTGGGACTGGGTCGGAGCAGCCCGCAGCTGTGCAGGATCAGGCCAGCGACAGCCCATGGCAGCACAAGGCTGAGACTAGAGCCCTGGGCAGCCCGCAGCAGTGGGCTCAGAGCCTGCGGGCTGCCGCAGGGCAAGGCCCTGTACTCTTGGCAGCCTATGGCAGCGGGACGGGGGCTGGTGGTAGCCCCAGCAACCCACGGCAGCGTGGGCTGGAGCTCCAGACAGCCTGTGGAAGCAAAGCTAGAGCCCGTAGGCTGTCACAGGGCTGGGACCGGAGCCTGAGCCCTCGGCAGCCCGAGCAGGGCCAGAGCCAGCCCCAGCAACCTGCACTGCTGGAGCCCGGCAGGCAGTCCAGTCTGGGCAGGGCAGCAGCAGCGGGACTAGCAACCTCGCTGGCAGCCCGGCAGGGGCTGGAGATAGTCTCCTCCCTTCCCCACAGCTGGCAGAGTCGGGGGCTGGGGCAGCAGACCTTCTCTAGTCTGGCAAATTCCCTGGTGTGGGACTGATCCGGCATCCTCAGGATCTGACAAGAGATGTCCAGCCTGTGTCAGAGTCAGCTGAGTAAATGACAGTGCCTGGCTTACACAAAGATGTGGCCTCAGCTACGCCTTTCAAACCGTGGACTGCAAGTTCTCCAAGGACCATGGGAAACAGGCATCAATGAGCCCTGAGAATAAAAAGCAAACCCCTCTTACCCTAGCTGAGCAAGGTATGGCATGACTCCACTCTCCCTCAGGTAGTAAGTGACCACTCCGCTGCCTGGGGACAAGCTGGTTTTAATGTATGGCTTCACAGTCAGGCCAGCGTCAACAGCTTTCTTCGCAAGCAACCCTGCAAAACACAAAGAACACCTCTGATTGTCCTGGGCCATTGCACAGGCCACCTACAATGGAAAATCAAAATCCCAGACACGGCTGACATCCCACTTGAATAGGCTGAAACAGAAGGGATTTGATTTCTGGCACTGGACTGGTTTGAATCAGCAACACATGCGTAAGCTCCACGGACTTGGAGTGCTTTGACGAACTGTGGTACTGCTCTGCCTGCTTTCATTTCCAGTGGAAAGCTGTGTGCAGCTACAGACAAAGGCACATTCATATGCTTGGCAGGGTATCATCATAAGATCAGGTGCTTGATCAATAGAGGAGCTACTTCCATGCATTAGACAAGTGAAGCGGTGCCATAAAACATTCCACCTGAGATGATCTGGTGAACTAGGGCTGACCTAACTACTGGTGTAAGTTCATCTGGCCTTTTGATTTAAGCCAACAATCTCCCAATGTGTATCCTATTTAAGCACATTATCTAATTGCCTTCCGAGTGTGAACCCTTCCAAGCAGTTCATATTCCATCTCTTAGGAGATCCACAATCCTTCTCCTGGGCATATTGAACTGTTTGTGGCTGGGTAGATTCAGTGCTCGTGGTATAGACTCAACAGATTCGGAGACTGAAGCCCACTGTTTGGTCACGGAACAGGTGCAGCAGTTGCAGCAGCCCTGAAAGCTGTATCCCAGTGCCCGCCTCTATGTCTCTGGGGCAAGAGGACAGATCAGCGTCTCTAAAATCTATGCCCTTCTTGATGAGGCTGCTAACCAGTGGTGGCTAGTTTTTGCCGGCTGCAGTTCTCGGGCTGAATGATGCGAATCGACCCCCAAGTCATAACATTTAATGGACAAAATGTCAGGCCCGAGTGCCTAAAATTTGACTCCTAAATACAAAATAGCTCCACTTACATGAGCACTCAGTATCCAGAGACACCAATGGGAGCTGCAGGTGTTTGGTGACTGAAAATTGGGCTACACTGAGGTGCCCAGATAAGACTCTAAAAGCTTAGGTAGTTTTAAAGCCATTTAGGCATTTCAGTGCTGAGGACAGCAATGCCTAACTGATTTAGAAGCCTAAATTTTATCTGCAAAAGGCATTGAGGCATGAGTCTAAATTTACCCAATACTTAAATTCCTTTGGAAAGTGAGATTTAGGGTACATCTACACTGCACCCTTAGCTTGAAATAAGCGATGCAATTTGAGCTATGCAAATTGCGTAGCTTATTTTGAGTTAATTTTAAAATAGCGTATTTCATAATCTGGCGCAAGCTAAATGGCGCCAAATTTTGAAATAAACCGCTATTGCGAAATGTCCCTTCTTCATCAAGTAGTGTCCCCGAGGGTGCTCCACTCGAGGTGACGGGCTCGTCCCGGCGCCGCAAACCGGAGGAATATTCCTTAGCAGTAGCCCCCCTACTGGACCGCGCATGCGCGTCTGCCTCTTCGCGCCTCTCTGCTGAGCCCAGTCCGGTCCTGTCAGTTTCTCTCCAACCATCCGCAGCCGGAGACGGACTTAGATAAGGCTCCCTTCTCCTCTCTGAGGAAATAATGGGTGTCCCGTCAAGATGCAGAATAGCTATTTCAGGATACTGGAAGAATCCTGAAATAGCGCCACAGTGTAGATGTAGCCTAAGGCATTGAGATATTTAGGCATTGCTGAGCTCAGTATCTTTAAAAACCTGGGCCTAAGAGCCTAACATTAGACACCCAAGTTTGAAAATGGCACATATGTAAACACACCCAGTAAAGGGTTAAAAAAAACATTATTAAGGTTGTAAGTCAAGCAAGCAATCAAAAGTTAGGCAGTGACAGAATTGAGGTTGCTCGGGCAACTCATAAGTTGGCTCCTTTGTGCATAGGTCTGATGATATAATCTGTATAACTGCAGGATCACATACTATTTTTCATACGACTCTTGCTTATTCCAGGAGCACCATCCATCCCCTGCATTGAATGAAACTGCTATTCAGTATTTTGTTTTCTCCTGATTGTGCAACGTGTGGCCCCCACACCTTATTCACTGCAAACTCATTTCCTCATGGGCTCTTCTAGGGCACTCATCAATGTAATATCTGAGTTGTCTTCACACACCCCTAGATGCAGGAGAGGTATTATCTCTATTGTAAAAATGGGGACATAGAGGCAGAAAGACATGAAGGTCAAAGTCATCCACCAATTTTTGGTGCCCACTTTGAGAGGCTAGGACCTGATTTTCCAACACTTATTATTGCAGAACACTTTATATGTTCAAAGTACAGCTCCCATTGATTCAACTGCAGCCATTAAATGCTCAGCACTGCTATAAATCAGATCCAGGGCCTCAAGCCAGGAATGAACAACAGTTAGGGTGTGTCTACACAGCAGAGTTATTTCAAAATAACAATGTGAGCACCTGCACAGCAATTCCATTATTTTGAAATAATTTCAAAATAATGGACGGTTTATTCCGACTTCTGTAAACCTCATTCCACGAGGAATAACATCACTTCTGAAACTGCTATTTCGAAATAGCTGTAGTGCGGACGTGCCACGGCTGCTATTTCAAAATAACTCCCACCCAGGGCCATTCCAAGTAATTACTCCCTAGTGCTTCTTGGAGCTCTAAATCGAGGTAGTACATCCGCATTAGGGGAGTCTGCCTCGGACTAATTTCAAGGTTTCCCTGTAGTGTAGACGTGCTATTTCAAATAAGCTATTTTGGAGATTTTCTTCTGGAATAGCTTATTCCGAAATAAGTGTGCAGTGTAGACATACTCTTAGTGACCATCTGTAAAGAGTTTGGTTCAATTGACTTGCCAAGCATCACAGGTGCTCTGTGGCAAAGGCAGGCATAGAATCCAGTTCTCAAAGGTGACAGTCAATTGCCTAAAGCATGAGACCATCCTGTTTCTTCCTGCAGCCCCTTGTCTCATTCACTACACACATTCCACACCTGTGTAACAACTAAGTGCCAAGTTTCAAGACATTCTCTTTTATTACACAGCCTGTTCCCTCTGCAGGCTCAGTACATCCTGTGCATGGAATGAGGCAGGGATCCTAGGAGCGAGGGAGAACATTTGACAACGTAATTAACGACTATCAGAATGAGAGCCAAATTAAGGTTGCTTGGGCTGAACTGTTTCAGTAAAAGCTCTTCCCCAGAACAGCAGCCAGTGGCAGACATCTAGTGTGGAAAATTTCAGCCCAAGCTCTTAAAATCTGGCAAGTTATAAGCAACTGAAAAGAGGGTCTTAAAATGAGCAACCTTAACTACAGGCATTGCTACCTGCTCGGCCAGTAATATTTGCTTGTTTTCGATTTGGAAAACAAATAGAAGCACCACCTGGGTGCTGTATAATGTGCCAAATGCAATACTAGTGTGAATGTGCATCTTTAGTCCTGAACAACTGTGCAACTGCCCTCCCATCCCCAGATGATTGGCAGGAGCAGGGCAGTGGGGGAGGGGGTATACCTACCACCAGGCCTTGGAGCAGCTACACCAGGCATGTCCAAAGTCCGGCCCGGGGGCCAATTGCGGCCCGTGTTCCGGTTTAATACGGCCCCACAGGTAATTTGGCAATATCTATCTTTTATGGCCCCCAACGAATCCATATGTATTGAGATGAATACATTGTAAAATCTCAGTTAATGTCAGTTGGTCTAAATCAGTTATAAATATATTTGGACACAACATGTATACTTGGTGTTATGTTCCTGTTCATATTTTTTGAACTTAAAAGTTGACAGACAACCTTTATTACCAATAATATGTAATGTACTTTACAATGTTCCTGACATATATTTCAGCTTCCTGGATTTTTTTTTCATCTGGCCTTCAGATATGAAAGGCAGAGTGATTTAACACCTGTTTAGATTTGTCATCCATGTGACGAAATGAAAAGTATGCCATTTGCAGTAAACTTTGCATAAAATAGTTAATTTGCATTTAATTTTAATGGTTCAAAGAATGTCAGGCAAAATGGTCGGCCCTCACGCATGTTCACTTCATCAAATCTGGCCCTCTTTGAAAAAAGTTTGGACACCCCTGAGCTACACAGATTACTCCCACCTGCCTGCTTCCCCTCTCCCCACATCCAACAAGGTTCTGACCTAGAATGTCTTTTCACAGCTCCTGTTACAGAGGCACTGCACAGCCTTTGGAGTGGAGCTAGAACAGGTGCAAAGCGAGGCCATTCCCCCACCTCCCACTGACCTACAGGTTTTCTGGCATATGCACAAACATGGCTGCCAGCCAAAATTTGGCACAGAGATGGAAAGAAAAGGAAACAAGAAACCGAAACCAGGAACACGAGCGAGCAGTTCTTCCCTTTTCCTCCAGGGCATGAACGGAAGGGTGAGCATCAGACAGAAGCATCCCGTGTCTACCAAAGAGCTTCACTGTTGCTATCAGAGCACTAGGTCTGTAACAAGGAACCGTAGGGATGGAGCAATTACAAAGAAAGATAATGCTGTTCTTGGGGCTGTGTACAATGCAAATTCCCACACGCACATGGGCCCTTGCCTCCAAGCTAAAATCCATTACAAAATCACCGACTTGAATAGCAGCAAGTCTGGTACATACGTCTAGCCTACTGTGTGGACAAAGCAATTTGATACCACCCTGGCTAAGCACTGTATCAAATGCCTCACCTAAAGACCAGAGGCAGGCAATAACTAGTGCAAAGTGAGATTTACTGGAACTTACCACACTTAGACTTGTCAGCAGGAGGGAAAAAACCATGTGAGTATCATCCAGAGATTTCAGGTATCAGCCCAAATATTGGTCTCTGGATTCCTCTTGTTACCGCGTGACTGTGGCATAAAGGGATGTGTTGCTCTCATCTGAGGAAGTGGGTTTTGCCCAGGAAAGCTCGCGATACTAGATATTTATCTTTTTGTTAGTCTCTAAGGTGCTACAGGACTAGTTGTTTTTTTTCTGATGTGATTCCATTGATGTCAACGGGGCTTGCTTTTATGAGGCAGACTGAAAACTAGAGAAATTGTTGTAGGCCAATGACCAGACACACTTACCAGCTCCTAACATAACAGAGGGGTTGCTGGTATTCGTGCAGCTAGTAATGGCAGCAATCACTACCGAACCGTGGGTGAGCTCAAAGTTCCCGCCATTGTGAACAAACTTCACACGGTCACTGTGACGGTCTGGGGCGATCTGGAACCCTTTGAACCCTTGCTAGAAAGGGAGACAAAGCAGAACAAAGGTAGACGAGGGTTAGTGCAAGTATGTGAACGGGCAAAGGGGGACAGAACGGTACCACCAAACAGCGGTGCTTTACAAAGCAAAGCATTTGGTGACACTCTGCTATAGCCCCCCCCAGGCCACAGGAGAGGAGGACAAAAGAGCTTCAGAACGAGATGCAGCAACACTTGATGTTAGTTCCAGGGGCCTGCTTCAGTTCCCAGCATTCACCCAACATGGCGGCTGTCACATTTGCATAATGGGGGCCAACCCTACCCTCTCATCCCATGGTGAGGAGCTGGCAGCTGCCTCTTGCGGTGGAACAGAGGATGGTATTTTACAGAACTCCTTGGGCCTGCACAGAGGCATCTGCAATCTCATGTTTCTTGGATCCCACATCAGGTTGTACAGCAGCGTGCAAACCACACACCAGCTACGGAGAGAGAATGAGGCTTCTCTCCAGCCTTCACTGAGAGCCAGATGTCCCAGGTTTAGTTCCGCCTATCGACATTACAAGCACACAGAATCAGGATCTAAAAAGCCACCCCACGTCCCTAGCCGAGTCACTCAAGTCAGGCATGGGCCTCTGGCCGGACTACCCAAGATTTCACACCATTGGCACTGAATGGTGTGACCTTCGTGACAAGGTCTAACTGACTAGACAAAGGACAGTCTTCAAAAAATGGAGAGAAGCAGCTTATCAATACTACACACTAGGATAGAAAACCTGGATGGCACAGCAAACGTAGGTTTAGCTAGATTTGAAAACTACTGAATTCTCATAGGTCCTTCACAGGGCGTGTGCCTGAACTGTGAAGTTTAGCTCTGGATTCAAGTCTAAAATTCCCCAGAATTTAGGGGGTTTTTAGAGCTAGGTCCTAATCAAAATCCTATACTCAGTTCTATTAACTGCTGTCTAACTGTATGGACTGCAAGAGGCATTTAGGGTTCATTTTAAATTTCAGTTGGGCAAAAAGCACCTCAGGAAATCTGCAGTGAGCCTCAGACTGGTATGCCATTATCAGGGTGAGTCACTGCTTCAATACTGCAAAGGCTTCACTAACGGATCGGGGCAAACCCACAGACCACCTGTGTCCCATGGCCCATAACTTGAGAACCACCATACTTATTCCTTAGTGTTAGCTTCTAGGCTACAGTTGAAAATAACTTGGAAACACCCAAGGTTATTTATACATAAAGTGCACTGAACTGTTTGCCATCAGTCTCTCTAGTGACTAAGCACTAGAGACAGTTTCCTGAAGACAAACATATTTCTGTTTGCAATGCTTTGTGCCTTACCTTGGCTCCCAGGCAGGTCTCAAAGTCCTCCTTCATCTCTGACACACCTACTTTGTCCTGAGGTCTTTTGGGCCCACTGCAGCAAGGCACGACGGTGTGCAGATCCAGCTCCACAATCTGTTTGCCAGGAGGAAAAATACAGGTCACTAAGCTGCTATCATGGAACGAGCTAAATCACACACGATACATTGCTCTAAAGGGTCCCAGTTTAGCCATGCGCCACACAAGGAGTCCCACTGACTAATGTGCTTAAGCACCTTGCTGAATCAGGGCCTTAAATGGTCTCCTGACAACATGAGGCCATTTGAAGGGAGTCAGATACTGTTACCCCCCAAGGAAAAAGTTTTAATAGCCACCTCTAGTCCCCATTTTCAAAGGTGACTGAAACACGGGAGCTCAAGTCGAAATAAAGCCAATGGGATAAATGTGTTAAGTCACTTCTGGAAACAGATCTGAGGTGGCTTGTAAATTTTACCCCCAGCCTCACAATCGAGACAAGTCCTATTGCTAGCACCAAGACGCATTCTGCGGAATACTAGCAAAGGGGTAATAACAAGACCACACAAGCAGCCTCCTGCTCACCGTTTTGCAGGCCACTAGGGACTAGCAACTAGGGATTGTTAGATAGCGTGAAATTTAATAGTCATGTAACCTCATATAATTTTAGTGGTTATACGATTATTCGATAGTCCCAGAGAGTGGGGCCAGCAGCTAGTGCACTCTTAGCCCCACTCTCCGGGAGCCCCCTACCATCCCATGCTGCTGCCTCTATCAGAAACAGCAGCATGGGATGGGAAGCAGGAGTCAGTCCCAGCTCCCCACGCAGACCAGCTCTCACCTGCTGCCTCTGACAGAGGCAAGAGCGTGGGGTGGCAGCAGCCCCTATTCATGGGGGGCCTGAGCTCCCCACAGACAGAGACTGCTCTGCAGCAGCCTCCCCTGCCCGCCCCCTTTCTGCCTCGAATAGAGGCAGCAAGAGTGGTGGGAAGAGGGGAAGGGTGAGGCAGGCGGCTCCAGGGAGCCAGCATGTGCAAAGAGCTGGCTTAAATGACAGAGGCAAGAGCGTGGGGTGGCAGCAGCCCCTATTCATGGGGGGCCTGAGCTCCCCACAGACAGAGACTGCTCTGCAGCAGCCTCCCCTGCCCGCCCCCTTTCTGCCTCGAATAGAGGCAGCAAGAGTGGTGGGAAGAGGGGAAGGGTGAGGCAGGCGGCTCCAGGGAGCCAGCATGTGCAAAGAGCTGGCTTAAACATGTATCGGGGGGAGCCGGCTTTTCAGCTGGCTCCCGCATAGGTGCCTGCCCCCCCTTGTGCTGCCTTTGTATCCCTTCTACTTGCCCTATTCACTCCCTAGCACTGCTGCCACTGACTCAGAGGCAGCAGTGTGGGAGTGGGGGGGTAGGTGGCTCCACAGAATCCATTGCTCATGGGGAGCCAGCTTAAAATCCGGCTCCTCAGGGTCACTGGCTCCCACTGGCCTCTCCCTCAACTGCCTTTGGTAAAGATAAGCTCAGGCTTATTGGTTATCTGTGCAGTCGTCTACATGTCGACATCCCTAAAGTCAAGTAGACTGAGATTGTTGGACACATTCCAAGCCCTGAGATTGGGTGTGAGCTGTTACAAGAAGCTGCCTATACAGTCATGGAGTGGCCTGCCAACTACAGTACGCCAGGGCATGGTTTGGGCATGGGATTAAATAAACTGGAGTCATGTTAAAGAAATTTTCACACAGCAACAAAAAAAATTTCAAAAAGAGAACAACAAAAATAAATACAATTCAAGGGAGGTGAGCAGAGGGTCAGGAGAGAAGTAATGGAAAAATTTAATGATGATCAAGACTTTACCTGGGTAAAATCTGGATCCTGGGAGGAGTTACTGAAATCTCGAAACATCCCCACAGCCACAAGATAGTCCTTTATGTGCTTAATTTTTTCTTCATCGCGGCCTAAAGTGAAATCCAGACATAGCTAAAGAACAACCAGTCAAGATACAGAAATTTGGGCATTTTAACTATGCAGACCAGGACATTGAATGGGGTAGGTTGCATCCACATCAACTTCATGTTTAACTAGAAAAGCAGGAGAAAAGTCACTGGATCTTTGATGAGCCCAATCCCAGTTTACTGGAACTATTATTTGCATCCCAAGGTTGATGTTGAACTCTTGACAAGAAATTTTCGTATGCTGGAGTTCATAAGGGCTTAGCCCCGAAACACATGATAACTCATAGATACCATGTAAAAGGGACCCTTTCCCAGGGTTAAGGTTTAGGAAGGCACTGGGACCAAATGCACGGCACCAGAGGTGTGATTTGATCTCTCATTTCAGTGAGATTCTGGAGTTAACCCCACTCAGGTCAATGGCGTTATACCAAAGTCAGGCCCTGTACCACTGTCAGGGCCCAGGTGTATACTCTGGATCTTCAAGTTCTGGTCTCTTTTTGCACTTACCCGTTTGAATCAGGTACCTGATGCTGACTTCATCAACTGGGAAGAAGGCTGCAGTTGCTCCATATTCTGGGCACATATTGGCAATGGTGGCTCGATCAGCAATGGACAGCTGGGCTACGCCAGGCCCAAAGAACTCCACAAACTTACCCACAACCCCGACTTGGCGCAGGTGCTGTAACACAGGAACCAACACAGGTGCTCAGCTCTGTTCCTCACCTCAGAATGTGAACAGCATACGTCATTCACAGGCAAAGCTTTCTCCCAGTCCTGGGCCACCTGGGATCAGGGGTTGGTTTGGCGTGTAACAAAGCATCAAAGCTCAATGCCAAACGTGCCATCCATGCGTGATTCTGCTACCACTGCAGGCAATGGCAAAAAATCCTCGGGAGCATCCACGGGAGTAGGTTTGGGTCCCAAACCTGTCCATGACCGCAAGGGCTGTAAGAGCTCTTGCAGTTGCAGCTCTTCCTATCCCATCAAATCAGGAGCAGGGTTGAATGTTGATTCCACAATCTGGGGTGAGGCTTAGCAGCAGACAAGAGGGAAGGAGCTGCAGAGCTAATGTGGCCCAAGCCCAGTGTGGTTGGGTCTCAAAGGATGAAATTAAGATGACCGCCCCAGAGACAGGCCACTGTACACAGCCACACTAAGATTACACACGAATGCCAGGCTGTAGCCCATTACAAGAAATCCCCCATACTCATGGAAAAGCAGCAGGGGTGCATGTTACCTTGGTAACGGTAAGCACGATGTCTGTGGACGTTACCAAGGGTTGAGGGTTTCCCACCATCTTGTAGCCAATCACTTCAGGAAGTACCATGCTGATTGGCTGGCCCAGCATCACGGCTTCTGCTTCAATGCCACCAACCCCTGAATCCAATTGTCATGACAAAAGCACAATTTTTTTTTTAGATGAGGCAATGAATGCTGGAAGTTAATTGACCAGTGAAATAATATTATGGCAAATAAGGGAAAAGGAGTTACCAGACAGCAGGTCTTAGACTGAGCTGTTAATAGGGGATATTTCTTAGATAGCCTCTCTTCTCACATTGTCCAAAGCTTTTGTTTAAGAAGAAAGTTTCTAGCCACCAACTTACTTTCATTTGGAAACTGAAAAGTCACTAACTCAACTGTGTTTAACCACAAGGGGCTGGTTGGTCAGAACGGATCAGGACAAATTGGGCTCAATTGTGTGTTAACGAGTCTTGAGTAAATTCTGACAGCAGAAGAGTTTTCCCATGCCTGCTGAGCATGCCTGAACCTCTTCTACACTGACCAGTCAGCATTTTATTATTTGTAGTACCATACCACTAGGCACAGATCGGGACCCATTGCACTAGGCACTGTACAAATACAAAGCAAAAAGATGGCTCCTACCTCAAGAAGCTTACAATCTAAGCACAAGCCAAGAGTCAACAGATGGATACAGTTAGATGGGAGAAGTACAAGGAAACAACTTGATAATATTAGTGATAAGCATTGGTCACAGTCCACCAGCAGCATGACTGACGGTCAAGCAGTCAGCTAGCTTGACTGTCTTGCAACTCTATTTGGGGTAGTTTCCTTGTGAAGATGAGGCCGTGGTTATAAAGAATCTTCCCAACACAATGATTATTTATTCTGTGTATTAAGCTAGAAACTGAAAAGTCACTAACTCAACTGTGATTACATGATTAACCAATAAGAGGCAGCAAGGGGAGAGGGGAGAAGCAGAAGCCAATATGTATGGAGAGCCAGCTCTCCCATGAGCTCTGGCTTCCGTGGAGCCAGCTGCCTTCCTCCCTCCCTCCGCTGCTGCCTCTGATAGAGGCAGCAGCGCAGGGGATGAGGGTAGCAGGCGGGAGCTGGTACACACGGGAAATGGCTTTCAAACAGGCTCCCAGCACTTATCAGCTCCCATGGAGCCGCCTGCCCCTATACTGCTGCCTCTATCTTTTAAGCCGGCTCCCTGCGAGCCCCAGCTCCTGCCTGCTCCCTGCCCTGTGTGTAAACATGTAACTGCTAAAATTTCCAGCAGTTACAAGTTTACACAAATACTCGATTGTTAACATTCCTACTAGAAACCCCAGTCACAGACCAGGTGCTGTACAAAACCACAAAACAAGAAGATGGTCTCAAAAAAGTTAAAATCCAAGTAACATGAGCTGTTGCAGTCCTATATTACCAAGGCTGCAGATTCAGAAATTCCTTATACAGACTGTAATCTATATAGCACTACGTAAAGTAGACACATATACTATGACTTACACTCTGTGCGACTGAAAACTTTATCCATGCGTTTGTAAGCTATCAACATTATTGTAAGCTCTCTGAGACCAAGACACTTTGTTCTGTGTTTATACAGCACCTTGCTCGCTGGTTGATGGACTCCTAGTTAACAAAGGGATTTGTAGGTGTTTTCAAAATAATGTAAGTATCATTGTGGTATTCCCCAGGTATTCTTTATACTAGGAATAAAGATGACTGCAAAATGCTTTGGTTAGACTATCTACTTACACAGATGAAATGTCAAACCTTCACTGTCTACCACTGGCGAGGAACATATTTCAGTGTTATTCTGGCAAGCTGTGTCCAAGTAAAGAACATCTGGTACAAGAATACTGGCAAAGAGTGATCAAACCTTGTCTTGATATACTTCATCTCCTTGACACATTTCATCCCCTCTCGCCAGCGTTTGGCTTTGAATCAGAGTTTCTGATCCAGCACTGTATTTATAGTTACAGTCACAGGGTAAACTTCTTCAAAAGCATCCAAGTGATTTTAGGCTCTTTGGTCTCTCTGAAAACCAGTGAAGCTTTCAATAGAACTTTGGCTCCCAAGTCATTTAGATGCCCTTGAAAATTGTCCTCCATGTGTCCTCACTAATGCTGCCACCCATGGAGATTTTAAATCCTCAGTAAAAAATATTTAAAAATAAAAGCACAAGCAAATCCTCCATGACCGGACATGTGATTTGTTGTTGGCTATTACTTGTACAATCAATGGGTATGGAACAGGAGATCAGGTTACAAAATCCTGGTTTATCGGGCCCTTTGTTGTTGGCTATTACTTGTACAATCAATGGATATGGAACAGGAGATCGGGTTAAAAAATCCTGGTTTATCGGGCCAGCTGAATTGGACACAAAAAAGGGAGTCTGTTGTACTAAATCAGTCCTTGTATTTTATATGTGGTTTGACAGCAACAAGAGCCATAACCTAACCAACCAGTTCACGAAACTTTAAGTTACAAAATTTGAGTGCACTTACCCCAGCCTAGTACTCCCAGACCATCAATCATTGTAGTGTGTGAATCGGTGCCTACCAGGCTGTCGGGATAATAGTACCCATTCTGATCAAACACCACTCTCGCCAAGTATTCTAAATTCACTTGGTGCACAATTCCTGATCCGGGAGGAATAATTCTCATGTTGTGGAAAGCTTGGGAACCCCACTGAAACACAGTAAGAGCCCCACATATTAAATATACAGTGGATGAGAGTTTGTTAATCCTATCTTGACATACATAAAGAAAATAAATTCTTCCCATACCTTTAAGAATTCAAATCTTTCTTTGTTCCTTTCAAACTCCAGCTCCTGATTCTTCTGCAAACTGTCTGATCTGCAAGTGAAATAAATGAACAGAGCTAAAAGTCCCCAAGTGAATTTAGTATGTGGACGTACGTGTGCACATGGAAGAATAGCACTTGTATGTCATTATGACCATCAGTTTTATATGCTTCAAGCAACTGCAGCAGGGAGCTACAGGCAAATCATGAAAAGGGCTTAACAACTCTTAAGAGTAATACCTCATGGCCGTGTCTACACTGGCAAGTTATTCCGGAAAATCAGCCGCTTTTCTGGAAAAACTTGCCAGCTGTCTACACTGGCCGCTTGAATTTCCGGAAAAGCACTGATGATCTAATGTAAAATCATCAGTGCTTTTCCGGAAAAACTATGCAGCTCCCGTTCGGGCAAAAGTCTTTGTCCGGAAAACTGTTCCGGAAAAGGGCCACTAGACAGCACAGTAGTGTTTTCCGCAAAAAAGCCCCGATTGCGAAAATGACGATCGGGGCTTTTTTGCGGAAAAGCGCGTCTAGATTGGCCACAGATGAATATGTCCTGCCCCACCCCTGTCCTGCCACTCTAGATGCGCTTTTCCGAAAATGCTTTTAACGGAAAACTTTTCCGTTAAAAGCATTTCCGGAAAATTGTGCCAGTGTAGACATAGCCCATGTGTGGCACAAATGTTAATCCCATATAGAATGCAGGCATTAAGTTCTCAATTTGATAAATCTAGTCTACATCATAAAACAATGAAAAGTTTTCAAAACCTAAATTGTACGTAAGCTGCATAACAGAAAGGGATGCTGGAACACCATCAGCCCATTATTGTGGCTAATACATATACTGAACTGGAATACACACTGCAGTTCAAGTCTGTGCTTCTAAAATATATATGAACAATTGTACATAAACATAAAATCCCTAAGAAGGGACATTGGGGCAGAGCTATACTCTCTAAGACTCATAATACCCTTTTAGTCAATTTGAAAGAACTAACCAGACATTCTAGCTCATCAGCCATTTGTTTGGTTTTTTAATTGAGAAATTTTTCCATCTAAAATGGGATTTAATCAAAAATCATTTTTGTGAAAAACTATTTTTCATGGAATGTATTTGTGCTTTTGTAAAAACAAGAACCACGTCTATTTCCATTCTTCACTGAAATTGACAAAACTGACATTTTTTCATTGCCATAAAAAAGTCTCACAGGGAAATAAATATATTTTTCTTCAGTGAGCTCTCATAATAAAACAGACACACAAATAAAATGGAAGAACAGTATGTTCAAATTTAACCAAATCGGTTCCAACATGTACATATTCTCCAGAGACTACCCTTTGGACATTTAATTCCATACTGAAATCCAATTTATCTAAGTGATATTTTAAGATTGTAGTTTAAGTTAATGAGGAGCAGCTCTCAGACAAATGAGCCAAGACAAGAAAAAAAAATACTGGACAAGAGCTTTTCAGTTAGCTGGAGCAGTGCCAATGGAGGTTTGCATCCCTATGACTTTTGAGTTTTAAAAGAAGCCTGCTTTACTAAGCGTCACATGGAGGGGATGTTTTAAATGTAATACAAAAAAACAAAACAAAACAAAAAAAAACCATCTGCCAAGAGGGTTATTTCCACAAACAGGATCAAAATCTTTTGTTTAAAAACAGAACAAAATCCAATCTGACATGAGACACAAGATGGGGAGGGCTCATAGAACCATAAAGCTTGAAGACACCTCAGAAGGTCACCAAGTCCTGCCCCCTGCCCGAGGCAGGACCAATCCCAACTAAATCAACCCAGCCAGGGCTTTGTCAAGCCGAGACTTAAACACCTCTAGGGATGGAGACTCCACTACTTCCCTAGGTAACCCATTCCAGTGCTTCACCACCCTCCTAATGAAATAATTATTCTTAATATCGAACCTAGACATCATCTGCTGAAACTTGAGACCATTATTCCTTGTTCTGCCATCCCTCACTACTGAGAACAGCCTCTCTCCATTCTCTTTGGAACCTCCCTTCAGGAAGTTGAAGGCTGCTATCAAATCCCCCCTCACTCTTCTATTCTGTAGACGAAACAGACCCAAATCCCTCAGCCTCTCCTCATAAGTCATATGCTCCAGCCCCCTAATCATTTTGGTTGCCCTCCGCTGGACTCTCTCCAATGTGTCCACATCCTTTCTGTAGTGGGAGGCCCAGAACTGGACACAATACTCCAGATGTGGCCTCACCAGAGCTGAATAAAGGGGAATAATCACATCTCTAGATCTGCTGGCAATGCTCCTCCTAATGCAGTCTAATATGCCATTAGCCTTCTCGGCTCCAAGGGCACATTGTGGACTCATATCTAGCTTCTCATCCACTGTAACTCCCAGGTCCTTTCCTCAGAACTACGACTTAGCTGGTTGGTCCCCAGCCTGTAACAATGCTTGGGATTCTTCTGTCCCAAGTGCAGGACTCTGCACTTGTCCTTGTTAAACCTAGATTGTCTGTGTACTGCCATATTGGTCTCAAGATCTAATCAACTGCCATATTTGGGGTTGGAAACAAATTTTCCCCCAGGTCAGACTGGCAGACACCCTGGGAGCCGGGGAACTGCTTTGTGCGCTGCATGAAACATGAGTTTAAACAAGTGTAAAGGGTGAAATCTCTGCAACTTTTAAGTCTTTAAAAACATGATCTGAGAATGTCAGTAACTCAGCCACAGGTTGGAGGAGGGGGTCTGTTTCAGATGTGGGTGAGGTTCTGCAGCCTGCCATTTGCAGGTTAGACTAGGTGGTTACTATTGTCCCTTCTGACCTTACAGTCTATGAGTGCTCTTTCATTGTATGATTCCCCCCCCACACACACACACACTTTTGTATTGTTTTCATGTAAGTGGACAGCTTCAATATTTATTTCCCAGAGAACATTCCACGTATAGAACAAGTTCCTGAGTAAGGCAACTGGAGTACTGGAGGAGTTTGGAAAGCAGAAGAAAACCAAGAGAGGACATGAGAAAGCAGGACAATGGCATGAGGTACAGCTAAGAAGCACAGGAAGATGGGTGGATTTCTAAGATCCTGATGCTGCAATGCTGTGCAGATGGCCCTCTGTGCCAAGTCCCATTGATTTCCATGAGGCTCTATGCAGGAGCAAAGTAGCTCACTTACAGGACTAGTTTTCCAGTTCCCCCTTCCTTCCGTTCCTCCTCTTCCCCCCTGGCATAAAACCAACACTTTGCACTTTGTCACCAAGGCAGCAGCAAGCTAGCAACCCCGTTCTCAGAACTGTGCCAAGACAGCCCAGTGTAGTACATGGTTTGACTTAAGCAGTCTTGAGCCTCTGTAATGCTGGTGACAAATCTGAAGTTTGCATAGCACAGTGTAGCACCACTGACTTCAGTAGGCCTATGCTAATTAACACCAGCTGACCCTGGCTTCCTAGCAAGCATGAAAAACAAGACATGCTTTATTTCCTTACCTCCTGTTAAAATCCACCTGGATGGAATGATCAATCACTAGATCAGCCGGGCATATGGGATTAATTTTTTCAGGATCTCCACCCAGTTTTTTCACAGCATCACGCATTGCGGCAAAGTCAACCACTGCTGGTACGCCACTGAAATGAGAGATGAAACAAACTGAAGTGATTTAAAAGCAGAGCCCAGGTCCTCAGGTGCAGCATAGCCTGCGGATGCCGCACTGCCAGCAGATTCTGACTCAGAAGCCAACATTGGAATCGCTACTCCAGTGCAGCAGGGCACAGAACCGGTGTAGCAGAAAGAACAAAGCCACATTTGGATTCATCAGGGCAGAACACTGGGGTGGAAACTCAGAAGGGAGAGTTATTGTGCAACTTAGGCACTGGACTGGGAGCCCTGCTGAGGCCTGGCTTGCACCTCCCCCAGGAGCGAACCTCACCGAGCTATTACTACATTTAAAGTGCAGAGCTGCAGCAGCGGTAGCGAGCTCCCCCCTTATCAACTAATCGAGTAGTCAATGCAAATTCCATCGACTACTCAATTAGCTAATTAATCTTTACTTAAAATCCCCAGTTTGGGAATCAACCTAACACCCTCAGCCATGAAGACTGAAGCAAAGACTTTGGTTAGCTTCTCCGCAATGACCTTATCGTCTTTGAGTGTTCCTTTGGCAGCTCAATCGTCCAGTGGCCCCACTGGTGGTTTAGCAGGCTTCCTGCTTCTGATGTACTTAGAAAACATTTTGCTATTACTTTCTGAGTTTTTGGCCAGCTGTTCTTCAAACCCCTTATTATATTTTTACACTTATTTGACAGAGTTTATGCTCCTTTCTATTTTCCTCGCTATGATTTATCTACCACTTTTTAAATGATGCCTTTTTCTCTCTCTCTGCCACAGTGGCACCATTGATTGTTAAGCCAGGATGGCACTTTTTGGGTTCTCTTAGGGTATGTCTACACCACAGTTTCCACTATACTACAAGCAGTTATTTTGACATGTCAAAATACTGTTGAGCTGGGGACTTTTTACTCCAACTCCTGTAATCCTCATTTTCTGAGGAGCAAGGGAAGTCAGAGGAAGAGTGCTCATTCTCAGACTTCCTGCTGTGTAAACAGCACCAAAAGCCAAATTAAGCTATTTCGACTTAAGCTACGCAAGTGACATGGCTGAAGTTGCGTAGCTTATTTCGGCTTTAGCCCTGCTGTGTAGAGATGCCCTGTTTTTTAATTTGGGGTATACATTTAAGTTGGGCCTCTATTATGGTGTCTTTGAAAAGTCTCCATGAAACTTGCAGGGATTTTACTTTTGTGACAGTACCTTTTAATTTCTCATAGACTCATAGACTTTAAGGTCAGAAGGGACCATTATGATCATCTAGTCTGACCCACTGCACAGTGCAGGCCACAAAATCTCACCCACTCCCTCCTAGAATAATCCTCTCACCTATATCTCAGATATTGAAGCCTTCAAATACTTTGAAAACCCCAAGATGCAGAGAATCCTCTAGCTGTGATCTGTACCCCATGCTACAGAGGAAGGCGAAAAACCTCCAGGGCCTCTGCCAATCTACCTTGGAGGAAAATTCCTTCCCGACCCCAAATATGGCGATCAGCTAAACCCTGAGCATGTGGGCAAGACTCACCAGCCAGACACTCAGATAGTTCTCTATAGTAACTCTTATCAACCCTCCATTGACCTATTTCCCACTGATAATGAATGGTCAATTAGTTACCAAGATCATGTTATCTCATCAAACCATCCCCTTCATAAACCCATCTAGTTTAATCTTGAAGCCAGAAAGATCTTTTGCCCCCACTACTTCCCTTGGAAGGCCGTTCCAGAACCTCACTCCTCTAATGGTTAGAAACCTTCGTCTAATCTCAAGTCTAAACTTCCTACTAGCCAGCTTACATCCATTTGTTCTTGTGTCCACACTGGTATTAAGCTTAAATAATTCCTCTCCCTCCCTGGTATTTATCCCTCTAATATATTTAAAGAGTGCAATCATATCTCCCCTCAGCCTTCTTTTGGTTAAGGTAAACAAGCCAAGCTTCCTGAGTCTCCTTTCATAAGACAGGTTTTCCATTCCTCGGATCATCCTAGTGGCCCTTTTTTGTACCTGTTCCAGTTCTAATTAACTAACCTCCTCATTTTTGTGTAGTTCCCCTTTCTGAAATTAAATGCCACAGCATTGGGCTGCTGAGGTGTTTTTCCCACCAGAGGAATATTAACTTTTATTACATTATGGTCACTATTTCCAAGCGGTCCAGTTATATTTACCTCTTAGACCAAATCTTGTACTCCACTTAGAACTAAATCAAGAATTGCCTCTCCCCTTGTGGGTTCCAGAACCAGCAGCTCCAAGAAGCCATCATTTAAGGTGTTAAGAAACTATCTCTGAATCCTGTCCTGAGGTGACGTGCACCCAGTCAATATAGGGATAGCTGAAATCCCCCACTATTATTGAGTTTTTTATTTCGATAGCCTCTCTAATCTCCCTTAGGGTTTGATAGTCCCTATCACTGTCCTGATCAGGTGGTCGGTAATATATCCGTACAGCTACCGTCCTAATATTGGAATATGGAATTACTATCCATAGAGATTCTATGGAACATTCTGGTTTATTTAAGATTTTTACTTACTTTGATTCTACATTCTCTTTCATGTATAGTGCCACTCCCCAGCATGACCTCTTCTGTCCTTCCAATATATTTTATACCCTGGTATGACTGTGCCCCATTGATTCTCCTCATTCCACCATGTTTCTGCCTATTACATCAATATCCTCTTTAAATATGAGGCACTCTAGTTCACCCATCTTATTATTTAGACTTCTAGCATTTGTGTACAAGCACTTTAAAAATGTGTCACTATTTAGCTGTCTGTCATTTCCTGATGTGCCTGAACAGCACCCTTTATTGGGGGACCTGTAGGAGTGACAGCAGGATACATCCATTTCAGTAGCCAGAGGCATTCAGAGAACGCATGGGGCTGAAAAACAGGGACCCTCAAAAAGCTAACCCACACCAGCAATTTACTCACTGTGGGGCCCTGCTACAGAACCCAGATTTTCAGTGCAACTCAGGTCCCATTTAGGCCGCTACTCAAGGGCTAATCTTGATAAGAAAGCCCAGCACTCCCATTGGGATGGGAAGGGACAGATTTTAGAAGAACTCAGCAGCTACCCTGACCACTTGTTTAGGTGTCAAAATGGGAACTGAGCTGGTTAGAAAGTACAGCTCACCCTCTCTGTGCTTCATTGTCTCCATCCATAAAATGGTTACCATCCCTCAGGATGTGAGCCAGCTAGGACCCTAATGCTGTTCACAATACAGGGTATGGCGATTTTGCCACTGACTTCAAAATGCAAGCCAGACCAAGCCCTCAGTCCCTGTAGTGCATTGTAGAGAATGCAGGGCAATACATTATTCACTAGGGTGAGACATGGAATCACTCTGTTGTCCAGTAATGTGGAGAATTCTAAAGCTGTACTCTATTGCCTCTTACCACGTGAGTCCAGGGTTTAAAAAACAGTGGATTTTGGAGGAGGTTGTGGAATCCCCATCTCCGGAGATATTTAAGAGTCGGTTAGATACATGTCTTTTAGGGATGGTCTAGACAGTATTTGGTCCTGCCATGAGGGCAGAGGACTGGACTCGATGACCTCTCGAGGTCCCTTCCAGTCCTAGTATTCTGCGAGTCTACTTTTATAATAACCCCTTATTTTGTAACATTGTATATTACTCTTTCTGCCCCATTCCCAATTATCCTGTTTCTTTCCAATTATCGGTCGTTGTGTTTCTGCAGGTTTTAAATATTATATTGTAGAAGTCAACTTTTTAAATGAAAAATACTACAGGAGTGTTCTCCGTTAGATGTGAGCAAGGGTCAGGTTGGGGGGAAAGATGGTGGTACCACTCTCTAGGTTCCACCCACAGGAGGCACCCAAATGAGACACCATTCACAGGACATGGGCAGATGCTCAAAATATGATCATGGGGCTCTCTGAGCTCTATTAGGCTTCTTGAAATGAGCTGCTTCTCCATAGGGCTTGAATGTGTCCATAGACTCTATTAGGTCCTTAGGCTTGGATCCTCCTTGATTAGGGAGTCACAAAAGGGTGGGGGCGTCTCTCAAATGCACCAGAAGGAGATGTCTCTCACCATAAATGGTGGGCATCTGAGTCTTCCTCTCTCTCTTATTTTTACATGATGGATTTAAATAATAAACAAAATGTGATGTTTAAGTTATTGGTCATAGGACATTTGAATTAATGGGACACTTACAGCTATTGCTGTCTTTGCATTTCTCTCTTCACTGAGTTTGGTCAAATGGACAGACAGTATGTTTAAAATAACGTGACACCGTATCCACCTTCCATTCCCCTCTGTTTTGCCCATGCAAATGGTTGTGGTTTTTACAATCCCATTTTCCTAGTTTATGGAGGCTTTCGACTCACGTTAAATCCTGCAAAATAACTCGGGCAGGATTAAATGGCACTTCGACATTCTTGTGCTGCACCACTTTCCAGCTGAGGATATTCTCAACATCTTCCTTCTTCACTAGGAACTCGTCACAGTTGCGGATGGCTGCCTCCAGGAGGACCCTGATAGAAAACGGCAAACGTTCTGGGGGAAAGAGACAGAAAGCAGATTGGTTTTCATCTTTTATAGGAAGTTTCCAGATACAGGTTGAACCTCTCTAGTCCAGCATGGTTTTAATTAGCCAATGTCCACTTATCATGGGTGTGTCCAAGTTGCCCACAGTCCCATAAAGTTTGTGTACAGCCACCAGTCCTGGCTCTCAGTGTCCTGTGCTGTTATTTAGCTCTAATTTACCCCTAAATGTCCTTTAACAGCCCAGTGAGCAGTGCAAGTGTTGGCAATGCTGATAGACAATACTGACCTCCTGTGGTTTGGCAAATTCTCTGCTTTGGCACCAGTCAGGTCCTGAGGGTGCTGGACTAAAGAGGTTCAACCTGTATCTAAATGTGGTTGTGTTCTCTCAGCTTCTGGGTAGTGAAGTTTTGGCTCCATGGAAGCCAATGGGAGACTTGACACTGACTATAAACAGGGCCGGGCCAGGATTTCATACAGCATCTTTACTGGGGGCATACATCCTGCAATCACACACTTCTCTCAAGTTCATCCCTTTAGCAAGGCAGCATGGAGGAAATATGTCCGTCTATTGATTTGGCTACACCTTCATGCCCAGTCAGGAGATACATGACGCCCATCGGAAGCACTCTCAACTAACACATAAAATGACCAAAGTTGCAGTCCAAGTTTAGAAAAATAACATCCCCATAACAGGAAGTTAAATAAGCCAAGAGGCTCAAATGCAAAAAATGGGATTACAAACTGATCTTTAAGGGCTGGCTTTTCATTTGTACCCATGTTTCTGTGCCCACAAATCGAGTGTCATCTAGAGCTGCAAGGCCTTCCCACAGTTACTTTCAATGCCCACCACAGTCTGAGTAGGTAAAAATGGAGCACACGCACGCATCAGCTCCCTCTGCATGCTGCCAACGTACCATATCTCACATCTCCCAATTTGTTCAGATTGAAGAACTTCTTTGCAGGCTGGGTGGGGTCTAGCGGCTCCGCAATCCATGCAAATGGGTTGCTCATGATTGAAGCCCCTGCGTGTCACTGAAAACACAAAAGAAAATCATATCAGTGGCCCCAGAGGTGAATTCTGCATCAGATGACACGGATACTTCACAGTTTACATTAGACACACACAATTCCCTTCTGCAGTCTTTATGGAAGGAATGTTCTGAAGATTATAAACAAACCCAGGTGACTTCCACAGGACTGAAATGCCTGTATTTGAAGCACCATGACTATTTCCAGACAGGCTTTGTGCCTCTCCACCTGGCTAATCACATAGAGGTTGCATTTCTTCAACAAAAACTGCCCAAGTTTGAACGGATAGGTGCCTCTACCAGGCAGGCCAACAAAAACATCTATATTGAGGACAGGAAGAGCCTACTAAAAAGATTACTCCCCCAAGCTTCAAAGGCGCTAAGCACCCACATTTTTTATTGACTTTAAAGGAACTTGTGGGTGTTTCCCTCCTCCAGGAGGAAGAAAGAGGAATAAAAAATTTAGCCAGAGTAAAGAATTTTTCAATTTAACACCCATCACAAATGGGTCTAATACGGTGATCTAGAAGACAGAACATTTGATTGAGATGTAGAAGACCTGGATTCTATTCCCAGCATTGCCTCTTGGATGACATTAAGCAAGTTATTTTACTGCTGTATGCCTCAGTTTCCGCTCTACAAAATGGTGGTAATGATACTCACTTCTTTTGTACAGCACAAGATCTAGATACCATTAATACCACTATTAAAAATAAATAATAATACAGGGCCATGTTATGCATACGTCAATTACACTAGTGAGATTACTATCAAAATAGTCCAGTTGATTTCACTGGGACTAACCAGCTCAATTTAGGGTTCACAATCTGTCCTGCTGTGTTTTCAGACTATTCAGACATCAGTCACACCTCATTGCACTTTAATGCTTACAATTAAAACTAAGTACATGGGTGGAAAGGAGAGGCACAGAGGGATTTTAGTTTGGTTAGTGAGGCAGGGAAAGGCTTGTAGAAGTCAATGATTTATGGTTATAAGGCACTACAAATAAGCTACAATGGCCCGAGACAGGCTTATGAGCAGGCAAAGGCATCTAGGTGAGAGAATGCTCTGTTTACTTACAGTAGCAATGCCTTTTGCATATACTGTTTTATGCAGAAGAGAGAAACCACCACAAACTGCAACTGACTACACTGCACACTTTCACCTCTGGGAATGCTCACAAGAGACTTCATATATACAAAACTGAATAAAGTATTAACCCTCTTCACTTTGCAGGCCCTAAATAGTAAATATAAAAATATCACATCCATATTATTTCCAGTTGC